TTAAAAAATTGCAAAGTCTCATTCTCACAAAAATTCATTCCACGACTTTCAAACACTCCACCCGGGTGCAAGAGCCTACACTAGGGAGAACGTCCCGGGACGTCTCCGTCACCCGAGTTTCATCTCACATCACACTCTAAGGTACGTACCATTTTTCACTGAAATCGTCTGGCAAAAGATAGCAATCATTGCGTATAATGATAATTACAAAATTTAATTAACTACTTTGATATAGAATATTTCATAATAATGGTAATAATCATGGTAATAGTAATGGCAATATAGTGTTAATAATGGTAATAATAGTATTTGATTTGTACGTTTATCGTACATCTTGTTGAATAAATAATTATTTCAATTAAAAGTTAAATGAATAAGTTATCAAACCGACGCAATCCCACATCCTAACCATACACACACACATGTGGAAATTACGTCGTGCACGATATACTAACACAATGCCAGCCGCTTGTTTATTATTATTCTTATAAACTAGTTCATCGTGCCCGTTGCCTCTACCCATTCAAGTAGCACCTGGGCACGTGAATGAGCTTCGGCAATAAACACGGAAAGCATTAAACCTGAAAATCCTGAGCTATAAACATGATTAATATGAAAACATCTAACGGGCTAATATTTCATCATTAATAAATATAACTGAATTTTCTAAATATGAAGCTTTAAGAGTAAATGTTGAGAAGCAAGATTTTCATTAAAATTAATTTATTGAAAAGGACTCTAATTATGAGACTCTAATGAAAATTGAACTTGATATTTTACTGAAAGCAAAATGACTCTAAATAAGAATTCTTTGTAATAAAAAGAAAAATTTAATCTGCAAATTAAAAAACAATTAGAACATCCTCGGGCGATTCCCTATTCAGAGTAAATTTTCTAGAATACACAAAAGGTGTTCAAGTAGATTACTCTGACTTGGAAATCTACCCGTCCCGAATTGTCTTCTTGTACATGCATTGTTTAATTTTTCAAAAAAATGTAAATAAGTTAAACTTCACTACCTGTAAAAAGTTCTGAAAGTGAATTTAAATTTGCAATGTATAAAATGCAATTAAATCAATATCAAAATATTGTTAATATGTATGTTAATTTTAATCTTTGAAATAAGAAAATCAGATGGAATTCGACTTTTCCATTATATAAAAATAAAATAAAATTGGTTCAACATTAAAATATTTCACATAAGTTTTATTACAGAACTGCAATATGAACATTTAGGAGTATATTCATGTATTTCCTAAATATCCATTTGAATGTATAGATTTAAAAAGTTATTCAGGCGTAAAGTACAAGAAGACCTAGCCTGAACTAAATGAAATACAATTAAAATGTTACTACTCATGGGTATAATCATACCCATGGTCACTATGCTCGCCAAAACCACATATACAACCAGTAGCCCTTGTCGATTCGGACCATTCGTCCTACGACATGCCTGGGCACCGGAGGAACCATAAAGCATGCAACTCACCGATCGTAGAAAAAAGCTGGTTGCAGTCAAGGAGGAGGTTGCCCTCCGCCTCCCCCCTGCCCCCGAGGCAGGATGGAAGTCATCATGGATGCCATCAAGGAATTCATCGGGGATGTCATCGAGATACGTCCAGGAACTTGGCAATCAAAGAATTCATCTGTAACAAAACAAATAAAAATCTCGGTTAATTTTGAAACTTATCAATTTTGATTCAATGTATTAACCATCAAGCGTTGAAATTGTAAATTATTCTATTTAAATTAAGTAATATGAAGATACTTACACTCTTTCCTTGTGGAGTATCGCCCAAAACTCCTCTTCAGTGATACACTGACTCTAATACCCGATGTATCGAGCAATTGAAAAGTAATAATAGAAAAAATAAAGTACTAATTAACCGTTAATAATTTCTAGCTAACAATTAGTGACTCTACTTCCGCGATAAAAACAGAAAAATCAGAGCTCCGATGCTGTAGAAAAAAACGTGTAACAAACACTGACTCTATTTTCGCGTGTTTCCTAATCGTACAACCGCAATACTACGCAGGGTTAATTCACTCTTGAAGAAAGTATTATAAGTACGCACAAAACACAGTATTTATATATTTTAATATAATTTAATATGACTCGTAACAAACACGTGCACTCAGGACGAAGTTTCGAAGAAAAATGACGCCGTGAGCGAGACCTGCGCAATAAGCAATAGCGACGATTCTGATTGGTCGAAATCTGGATGGCAAGTCATTGCCATTGGTGGAAATTTAAAATTGTGTAGTTGAGTACTTTAGTAACCCCACCAATCCCGTACACGCATTTACGCGGTAAAATTTGAATTACTACTTATTTGGCTGTTCATACTTTTTAGTTATATACTAAGTTTTATAACATTTAATAATTAAAAAAATGATATTCTTTATGTTGTAAATTACTTTTAATATTAATATCATTAAAATTAAGATTGCAAGCATTCCTGCTTCCCCTGTAACACCATTTTTCCCAGGAAAGTTCGATCTACTTCCAAAATTTTTCCAAAGAAAATCTTTAAAAAACAATATAGAGCTAAATGCTATAATTTAAGGTTAGCTTGAAATTTTTGTTTACAATAATGCCGATTTGTATCCAGTAAATAATTTTAAAATAAAGCTTGCCTTGAAATTTTGTTACTGTATAATAATGTATACAATTATTGTACATTCGTTCAATTTACAGTCTTACATATATAAACTGTGAGATCCTAAATAGTCATGTTATATACAAAAAAAGAAAATATTTAGACATTTCTGTATATATTATCACACACATAAATATATTAAACTTACAAATTCGTCGCATATGAAAAAAATATATTTTACATCGTTTTTTTATCGTTTCACGATAAATCATTCATATAATATAGTTGTTAATTTCTGTAAATATAACAATAATAGTCAAATATCATTGTTGACAACTGATAAATTACGCAAGCTGCTGATACTTGAAAAATAGTACGTTCAAACAATATCACTAAAATTCTTAACCCATACATTAAATAAATATCTAAATCACAGAAGCTGAAATAACCTATCGTATCGTTTGAGACATATGTAATGGCGTTAACATCAGTTCAAAAACAGCATCTTTTAAGTTCGCACCGCGTAAATTGGCATCTTCTAAGTCCGATCCTGACAAGTCGCAACACTGAAACACATATGAACAATTTATTAGTTTAATAAGGTTTTATAAAATGAATTAAATTAATAAAATGTTACCTCTAAATCCGCACCAGCCAGTACTGCCGATCTAAGATTACAGTTTCTTAGAATCGCATTTTTTAATGTTGCTACCCTAAGATTTACGGCAGCCATGTTACTGCCTTCTAGATTAGCACCTTTAAGGTTCACACTCTCCATATTAGCGGGTAAACCACCGGGATCTTCAAAATTACAGGACTGAAGGTTGGCAGCAGCAAGATTTGCACACTGCATTTTAACACAAACTAACTGAGCACCTTGCAGATTTGCATCAGACAAATCTGCTCGTTCAAAGCAGCAACCTGATAAATTTGCACCCTCTATATTACAGCCACGTAAATTTGCATACTGCAAAAATTTATATCACAAAGTTCAATGTATTATTTACTGCCAACTTCAATATTGAAATAATTTTAGTTACCTTAAAATTAATATTCCTAAGATCTAATTTTGATAGATCAGCACCATAGAAAACAGCACCTTGAAATCTAAGTTCTGAAGTAGTTGGTGTTGACATAATTGCTTTAAGTACATCTCTGCGAGTTAAACGCTCGGAATCACTTTTTTCAAAATCGTCATTATGAAGTATTACATGCAATTTTTTAATGGCACTTTCGATCTCATAAAAACGCGCTTCTGCCAAGACTCCTAAAAAATATTTGTTACATCAACTTTAATAAAACTGTACCATTAAATGTACTTTAAGAACTCAATGAAGAAATTATAGGTCATTAAATTAAATTTAAACATAGCAAAAAATACACCTTTTACATTCACATTGGCGTCAAGTATTATTTCTCCGTATCTTAAATAATTTAGTAATGGCTCAAAATATGTTGGACTTCTGTCGATTAAGAATGCTCCATTTTGATCCTGTCTACTAGGTACCATTCTTTGTTCATTACATGCAGTGTCAATAAACATTCTGTAAATATTTTATACATTGAACATATTATATATGTTATACATACGTACAGAAATGTTTTCAACTTAAAAATTAGATAAACAAATTATGTTTACCTGGCCAACATGCTCATTGGTTCCTTTTTTGTTAAAGTATCCCTAGTTGTAGTAAAATATTTTCCTCCAACATTTAATGTAATCCATTCTGGGTGTATATTCAATTGACCTTGTGTACAAATCTTATCCTTTGCAATAAAATCTTCTCCTCTTGAAACATATAAGACATCGTCGTCTCTAAAAAGACATTTATTTTCAATTACACTTATACCCTTATTAAGCTTATGAAGCCTGTCACAAACTTATTAGCAAATTATATACTTTACCGGATTAACTTAATATCATCAATTTCTCCACCTTGAGGAGTGAATATTCTCTTAGCAATTATTTCAAACTTTGCACTGGCAGATATTAATAATTCATCTAACGAGTGAGTCACCATAAATGCCTAAGAAGATTAAAAATTGATATAAAAGACGTTGAAAATATAAATCAGAGAAAATTAAATAAGATTAATATGAATAAGATAAGCCATAGAATATATTATTTATAATTTATTATAAATAAAACTACAGTCACCTTGCCATTTACATCAGTTCCATTTACAAAAAGGATTACTCTCTTCATAACTATATAGCAATAAAATTCTACATACAGTAAGAAAAAATAATAAGTATGTAATTTTACAGAAATAGAACAGAATCAAATACAGGTTGCATTTGACATCGTATAAGTTGCCATCTTAAAAATGTCTATAAAATCAATATCTATAAGATACAAATTTTATAGATGCATCTGTGAATGCAGTAAAACCGTAACAGTTGCGATCGAAACTTTGTATTGTAAAGCGCCTTGAAGCAACATCTTTAAGGGAATTTTGTCTGTTGCATTGGTATTTCTAACTATCATTGGTATTTCAGTACATTTAACCTAGACATAAAGCCACAGAGCAGCCACAGAGTATGGCTGCGTACTGTTTCACGAAATGACTTTGTCGGTGAAGATGAGTAATTATTTAATATTCAAGTGAATAATTATCATTTTAAACATTTCGTTTAGCATGGAATTGGGCTTATCGAACACACTATTAGCAGGTGATCCACGGTTAGTGGATCACATTGTAGGAGAAGTTAAATCTCAAGGAATCTTTGATCAGTTTCGTAAAGAATGTATCGCTGATGTTGATACAAAGGTACGCAATATGTGTTTTAACAGTTAATTTAACATGAAAAACTCTGAAGTGTGTATAAATTACTTAAAATAATATTCTTAATACTTTCTAATGTAATTATTTGTGCAATTACATTTATTTGTTTTTTAAATGCCATATTTGTATAAGTGATATATTTACGCATTAAAAAGGGACGTTGATTATATTATACAAAATGATGTACAATATTATTACATTATATTACACTATATTCTAATAATTTGTATCACATCACATTGTATTATAATTACAGCCAGCATATCAAAATTTACGTACAAGAGTCGAAGGATCCGTGAATTCTTTCCTTAGCAAGCAGCCATGGAAACCAGATTTAAACAAAAATCAGTTGAGGGAAACCTTGCGAAAACATATACACGAAGCTCCTTATTTGGACGCTGGTGTAGAACGTATAGTGGATCAAGTTGTAAATCCAAAAGTATATTCTGTCTTCATGCCTCAAATTGAAGATGTAGTATACAAGTTTTTAGGTATAGAAAGACCTAAGGCAAAAGAAAAAAATGGTGCTTGTGGCCTTAAAGATTTATTACCTAAGGATTTAGATCCTGTTTCACCAGAGTCTGACAAAAATAGTTTAAAAGATGTATCTTTGGAATCTGTGGACGCGATAGAGAATTTAGATACGAGAAAAGATGACAAATTATTTAATGAACAAAAATCACAGGAGGAAGATGTTTTCAATGAAAAATCTAAGGATAACATCTCGGAAAACGGGCAAATTTTTTCGGAAGAAAAAGTATTAGATGAAAACGATAAAACTTTTAATAAGACTGGTAGTAATTTAAATTTAAATACGTCTGGAAAATCAGATGATAAAACAGAAGATGATGAAGAGGATAGTCCTACTTTTGAACCAATTGATATTATGAATTTAAATGAATCCAATATCTCCAATGATTCACATTTATCAGGAATATCAGAATTAACTAGCCATAGATCAAGAAGTCCTGATTTTTGTAACGAATTATCGAGGGATAATTTTGATTACAGTAATCAAGATTCGCAGTTAAGCAAAGTTTCTTCTGATTCTCGATTATCTATTGTAACAGATTTCGGATCTTCGAATCATGCATCGACACCAATTAATGATTCGTTAAAAGATGAAGTCAATAAAGATAAATGTGATGTTAGAAATATTAAAGACAATTTTAAAGCTGTCAGAGAATATGAATCCAGTAAAAGTAAAAGTAACAAAAATATTTTTGAATTAAATAAAAATAAAGATGCGCAAGATATTAAAGATTCTAAAAATAATAAAAACAATTTATCGTCTAAAGAAAACTCGCGTGATGCAACGGATAGTAGTATAAAAGACAAATATGAACATAAAAATAACAAAGATAAAAATAAGGATAGTGAATCTAAATCAAAACCCAAAGATAAAAATCACATAAAAGATGAAAAACATCATAAAGATAAGAGTAGCAGCAAAAAGCATAGAAGCCACAGTAGCTCAAAATATGATAAATATGATAAAAACAAATCTAAAGACAAAAGTGATCAACCCAAGGAGAATGCGGATAAGATTAAAGATACAGAGAAAGATAATTGTGCTACAGTAAAGGAAGACAAGATAAAAGAAACAGACAAGAAAGATAATATTAATAAGGAAGGGAAGGATCTAAAAGATCTGTACAAAGAAAAAATTAGGGAACTTAGAGAAAAGAAGGAACTTACAGAAAAAGAAAAATTAAATAAAGATAACAAAGAAACAAAATCAAATAAAGAAAATAAAGATAGAAAAGATTCTCCAAAAGATAAGAAATCTTATAAAAAAGATCATAAAAGTTCTTCCAAAAATTCTTCAAGTTCTCACGACATTAAAATAGCGAAAACATCTGAAAAAGTTATCGATGGGAAAGAGAAAAAGAGTGAATCAAAGGATAAAGATAAAAATAAGCGTGACGAAAGACGTAGTTCTAAAGATCATGTAAAATCTAAAAACCACGTTAGTACTAAATCAGATTCTGAAAAATTAGATAAACAAGATATAAAGAAAATTATTAAAAATGAGAAGGATGAAAAAATTGAAAAATCTGAGGTAAAAAAAGATACTAAACCAAATAGTGAAAAAGTAAATTGTAAAAAAGATGCAAAAAATTACGCGCAAAACAAAAAGTTAGATAGCAAAAAGGAAGTTAAAAATGATGCACAGGAAAAGGATAAAAAGCGGAAAGAAGAGAAAAAGTCTAAGTCAAAGGATGATCATTCAAGTTTAAGAAGAAATTCTAATGATCGACGTTCTACAGATAGAGACGGTTCAAATGGTTCAAGTAGTAAAAGCTCACAAGCTAGCAATGCAAGTTCTAACATTACAAATAATAAGTCTAATACATCTACTTTTTCCAAAGAAACAAACCATGTGAGTAATTCTGGTAGCGAAATATCGGACAGTATCGACGAAGTATATACAAGCGAATCAAAATTATCGCCAGAACAATCGAATTATAAATTAGACAAAGGAACAGAACACACGGAGTACAAAACAGATGATAGTAGTAATTATGAAGTACATATTAAACAGGAACCAGAATTGAATGATGGTAACTTACCTTTAAAGAAACGAGCGTTATTTGGAGAAGATAACAGCACTTTAGGAGAAGTGAAAGTGAAAAAACCAAAATTTGCCAAAAATTTTCATGAAGCTAAGAAACTAATGAAAATTAGGAAACAAATAGAAAAACAGAAACTTAAAGAACATAAAAAATTAGAAAAGAAACTTCAACAGAAAATACAATCGTCACAATCAAATACGATGAATAATGATAATTTTGAAAGTATGCCGGACGAAGAACGTGTTCAAATAATAGAGGTAGCAGATGATGAATATGATGAGCCATACCCTGAGAAACAAACTGATTTGACATTAGAAGAAAGATCAATTATGATGTTACAAACAGAAGCAGGTACAAAAGATTTGTTAGAAACACGCTCTGATTTAAAATTGAAATTATCAGACATGGAATTGTGTATAAGGCAATCCTTGAGTGAAGCGCTTCCCAATAAAAAACTAGAAAATGTATCTTCGCAACAAACAGCACTTTCTGATGATAAAAGAAATGAAGAATTACTAAATAAAGAGTCATTGTCTTCTACGATAATAGGAACAATAAAGGAAGAAGAAATAGATGACACTGAAAAAATATGTTCTGATAAAGAAATAAAGCAAGAAATTAATATTTTTAAATCAGAAGATAAATTAAAGTCTGAAGAATCAGACTCATTGGACATTGGTAGTGATAAACATAATAAAAATGAAATATCAGAACAATTAACAAAAATTGATAAGAATATAGAAATACCAACAACATCAAAATGTATGGAGGATGACGTTTCTCAGGATGCTCAAAGTAATAGTTTTTCTAATTTAAATGAATCAGATTGTACAATGAGGATTAAGAAAGAACCTTGTGATGTGGAGTCTACATCAACGGTAGTTGATGATAACGAGGAATGTCGTTATTTCAAAGCTGATAATGAAAAATCGGAAAAATTCTCTAGTTTTCTAGAATCACTGGAATTAGTAAAGAATAGTTCCTTAGAGGATATTATAGAAAGTTTAGGAGGGCAAGTTGTATCTTCAATGCCAAAAACAATGGCACCACCTTTACCGAAACGCAAACACTCGTCTAGCCCGTTAACAGATATATTGTTAAATAATTCAAATAATAATAATGATGGTCATAACAAAGCATTGAATTTGCCTGGCGAAGATGCGTTAAATAATGTAAAGAAAAGGAAACTTGTTGTTCAAAAGAAGCAAAGGCTTCAGTCAAATGTATGTGCTCCGCAGGGATTTTTAAATGGAGAAAATTTTGTTATGCCTCTAAGTCCAGAAAGTGACGTGTCTGCAACTAGCGAAAAAATACCATCATCAAATCTAATTAAAGAAGACAAAGGGTATGTTGAATAATTATTTCTCTAATGAATGCTTTTACAATAATTTACCTTTCAAATGTAAAAAGAAATTATAAGATTCAGGACTTTGTACATAAGATCCTTAGGACAAATTGTTGATGTTTATAAAGAGATATATCTATATATACATAATAAACTGAAACTATTAAGTTTATAATATTTGTTACAATTGTTTATTTAAATTTCCTATTTAAATCAAATTTTCAGGTTGAAAATATAAAAGCAATACACAATGTAGAAAATTAAATTTACATATGTATTCCTTTTAATATTAAAATAGTTTGTTTGAGATATAAATATCTCTTTCCTATTCATGTGATAACTACTTTGTTATGTAATTACAGCCGGCATAGAAGCAGTCAACGTTACTCAAGTGATGACTTATACAAACCACGTCCATTATTTTCAAGTTCTTCTCGCAGAAGTAGGAGATCTAATCAGGTATAGCTAGTAGCTCGTACTTTCAGATGTTAAATTACCTTTTACTTTATGTAATACAAAAACGAATCCTGGTTGTTAATTCTAGTAACACATTCTACATTCTACTTGGATCAAATATTTTTGAATTTTAATTAATACAAATACTAGTGCGACCAAACAAAATCTGTAAATTATTACATACATTATAGTATCTTTAAAGCTTATTCTAAATTGTATTATATGCAGAAAAGTTCAAATTAATATCTTTAAAACCATTTAAAATAATTGTATTAGAAAAGTTGAAAAAGATTTAAATGGGTTGACGTTCTTTACATTTATTATGAATTTTAGAAAGGAAATTTTCATTGCACTTAATGAAAAAATTCTAACTATTTTAAACAATTATTGTCAAATTATATAACTTGAACAATAGTTGTTTATGTAGAAATATCGAATCCGATGCAGTATTAAAAAATACGCACTTAAGAAATATTTTTAAATAAATGCAAAAGATTTTTAAAAATACTTATTTCAAAAATACCATACTGCAGTACTTTGAAACTTTTAAAAAAAATGTGAAAAATGATAAATATATATACACATTAAAGTAAATTGTACAGTTATTAAATTTCATTAAAATCCATTGTAAAATTTTATATTTAGAAGGGCATGTATAAAATTTCTGTGAATAATATATTTTTAATTTACATTTAAAATTACATTGAATACTACATATTTATGTAGTTCTTATTTATTAAAAGAAGAGTGAAAGATAATATTTTTTCACATTACTTGTATTAATCTTTTTGTATAAAACCAATTATAAACAGTACACTGGTCTGCAATTAATACTGTGCAATTTTCATGAAAATATATTGTACACAGTATACTGAAAGGTACGAAATATATTTATAGGATCACAAACTAGAGAGATATTATTTAAATTAACTACATTACTCGTATCTTAGAATAAGTTTTTATATTGTATATGTAGCTACAGGAATGTTTTCTTATTTTTATTAATTCTCTCTTGATTCTTATTCTTTTCTAAAGCTAGCAAGTTACTGGAAAATATGTGTGAGAATATAAGCCTGATAAGATTAACCTGCAAGAAATCATTATATTTGAACAGTTATTGTACATTATGATAGTGTATGAATAATTTCTTAGAACTAACAATATTATTTCTATTTCTTGACACAATGCTATACTGACGTTTTCTTTTAAAATGAAATTTGAGGAGAAAGGTGGATGTTGAAACCAATTACTCTGTGATGTTAAAAGAAAATAAGCAATAGCTTCTACAAGTTTCTTTGAAATATAATGAAACAATAGTAAGAAGTGAATTGCAATGCAGAGGAGTCATTCATTTTTGCCATAATAATAATTGCACATCACGTCACTTTTTACTTAAATACTTAAAATTGTAATATTACATTTTTACAAAGATGTTACATTTGTTAATAAGCGTGTTCTTTATTCTGTACATGTATAAGTTTGTATAAATATGTATATAAAACAGGAGTACATTACACTTTATTACTGTGAAAATATTGTAGAATATTTTTTCCAACTTTTTAAAATATTTATTGCCATATGTAATATAGTAATTAAAAATTTATATATACTATAAAACCCATTATTATTATTATGATTGCTTTAAAATAAAGCGATTTTTTGTATACATGTTAAACAGTGCATAAATATTGTATTACAACCTTCCTCTACCTTACATAATTATACAGAAAAACATTAATTACATTATTATATGTTATATTACAAACAGAATTCTTTTTACTGAAAATAGTTCGAAGTGTGAAGAAAACTAATTTTTATTTTATCCAGCAAATGTTACAGATAATAAAGATAAAATGAAATCACGTGTAATCGCATACGCAATGATATTTGTGTTACGATATCCGAGCGTAAAAATTATAAAATTACAGAAATATCGGATAGTACGAGTCGGTCATTAGATAATTAATTAGTTATAATTATTATCTATTAAAACATTTTTTCCTTAAACTTTTGCGAAACCTTACGCATAAATCGACCTTGCCATTTAACCGGAGTTTTCATAAATCCATATGCAATACCACGATAGACCTTTGTGTATTATTCAGCCTGTTATAAGTTGAATTGTTATGTATTAGAAAAAAGTAACTAATTCATGAAATACAATGTTAAAAATATACAGATGCTACTTTGTAATCATGGTATTTTCTATAAATAGAACAATTTGTGAGGGGTTTATCATGTAATACGATCTTATACGCGTTTATACAACATATGCATTGTCCGGAATATTGTAGAATAGTGTATTAGAATACTCTGAAGAATGGAGTTCAAACCAACATGCTGTAAATCAACTTTTCAATGCCGCTGGTTATTTACCTTTGTCGTGTAACAACGTTTTCTCTAGGTTAATTTGTTTATCGTTAAAGAAAGAAGCGTAGGGATCTTAGAAAAATAAAGTATTAAAATATTAAAATGTGTAATAAGTTTGTAGTATAGCAACTTAATACACGTAAAGGAACAAGAAAATCTATAGATAAATGTATGAAAGGTAATCATCTTATCATGTTAATCCATATAAATTAAATTAAATATCTCTTTCATCGTAAAATGAGTGCATTATCATCCACCTCAATGCACATACAAATCTTATACAATAATTAGGCCTATGTATACATGTCGGTGCTCACTACTGCGTAGCACACTACATGCACGAACCACGTGGTTGAATACGACGCATGCGTCACACGTGCGCGCACACCTAACCTCATCGGATCAATGTATGAGTATGAGTAACCATTTGTGAAGAATGCCAGTATATATCGGATACCGTAGCGATTCGAATAAACAATCGGACGTAAATGCCATGTATTCTTGCATTTCAAAGAGAACTTATAAGCAGGTACAATAATTTCTTTGCGAGACGGAATACGTGGTGGGGATTATACATTGTAAATTTCTCAATCGGGAGTAGCAGTCTCTTCAATTTCAATACGATTCCATTAAACACGGACAGCGAGTACAATTACGTTCCGTCACTTCGAACGAACAAATGTTTCCCTTAATTTCTTTTGAATGAACATTTCGTCGATTCTAAATCAAACGCTGCTATATCGGCGTTAAATCGGCATCGGGCCACTACTGAAAGCGTGTTGTCCGTTTCGTGAGTACATACAGTAATTGCGGTAGTTTAAAGGCCTGAGCTGGAGTTCGTATTGGAGTATCTTCAGAAATATGAATGCCGAAATTTACGAAAGTTTGCCTACATCCTCTGTGGCTGTACATATGACAGCAGGTGCATTTGCTGGAATTATGGAGCATTGCGTGATGTATCCACTTGACAGTGTTAAGGTAATAACTTTATTTCTAATACATTTTTTCTATGCTAGTTTACATAACCTCAAATGTTGTATCACGATATTTAGTTTGTTAAATTTTAATATAATTCAATGACATATAAAACCGTGACATTGTAAGTCACATGGTCTTTGAATAACAAGGAACATGATATTCAAATTCTCATTAATTCTTAGAATTATGCCACTTTCCTTGTTGCAACGTGGAAATTCGATCTCTATATATCACGATCGTTGTAATCTTAAATAAATAATGAACACTGACACTTTTATGATAATTACAATGAATTCTTGGTAGACATATTATTAATTATTTTACGCTTATATTACTTATAAAAGTATTGTGTAATCAGTTTTAAGCAATATAATTTCATAACTGTTTCCAGGTATTAATTCTCTGAATGCACGAACGACCGTATTAGTCATCAAATGATTTAGCAAAAATGTTTTGTAATAATAGTTTACTATTTTTTACTTTTTCAGTTATTATCTACATAATAACAGGTGTAAAAAAATTTACCATGTCATCAAACATTGTTGCTAATACAAATTTAGTTTTTTACATAATCTATACATACATATAAATAAAATTGAAGTGTCTGTCTGTGATTTCGAAATAATGTTTTTTTTTAACTCATATATGGTTTTTTGCAACTTGCTAAAACCTAAACACGCTTTTGCAAAATTTTTGTCTATCTATCTGTTTAAACAGGCTAATCTCCCAAACGACTGGACCGATTTTGACGAGACTTTCATTGGTAGATTCTGAATTTATAGAGTAATAATTTAGACTTCTTTTTATTCTGGAAATATTCAGAGTTCTCACGTAAATTTAGAAAAACTGTAAAAATCAGGCAACTTTTTTATAGTCCGTTTATGCAATTCACACATTTACACATATATATTATACGGATTTTAATTGTGAAAATCAAAGAGAGAGGCGATCAATCACAAAATTAAACAAATTTATGTTTATTTATACGCATGCAATGCGAGCGAAGTCGCGGGCAATCGCTAGTTAATAATAAAATTATGTAAGTGATAACAATGAATGAAACAAACTCTGTGTAATAGAAATAAATAATTTGTACTATCTTCTTAATTGTTTTCAATGAACTGAAACTTAGAAGTATTCCCATTTTTTTTTTCATTTTATCAGTTAAATAATTAAAATATGAATTTAATTTATATATTTTAATTGATTTTGAATTTAAATTTATTTAATTATCGTAATATAATTTTTATGATCACTTGATAAATTTATGTTGCTACATGTACCACTATAAATTATAATTGTAATTATATATAAAAATAATAATTGTAATAATAAGTGATGTCTGAAAGAAAAATTAGATTGTATCTTAGATATAAGACATTAATGTAAAAAGTGCATATCTGATAATGTTAATACTTGTAAGATAATGAAGCAGTAACATGCGTTTCAAACATTCATTATATAACACATTTCTTGATTCTATTGCAGTAGATTCTATTTTTGGTTTTCTTTTCAACCTACAATCTATATTAGTGTTTACTTTCACATTTAATTGTTTGAAAATGCATTTTTAACAGAGCATAAAGATAATGGTACATGTAAATACATTACATAACATTCAAATGACACAGTAAAAGTGAAATTTTAAAGTTCAATGACCTACTCTGAATCTCATTTGCAGCACATTATCATTTACATCACTGCATTTATTATTGCGATTGAGAACTGTTGTCACGCGTTATTAAACAAAGGCTTTGTTTAAAAATTATTATATCTTCAGATAATTGCAAGTCATACTTAAAAAATTTCTTAATATTCCAAAATTGTATCTATGTATGAAAAGAAATGATGTTATGCTAATGTAATTTTTTGTTTATATTCAGACTAGAATGCAAGCATTAACACCAGGCCCAGGAGGAGGCGGAGTAAGAGCAGTTTTAAGTAGTATGATACGCCAAGAAGGCGTTTTGAGACCAGTTCGTGGTATGAGTGCAATGGTGGTAGGAGCTGGACCTGCGCATGCATTGTATTTTTCATGCTATGAATTTATTAAAAATAAAATCTTAAGTTCAAGGGAGCATTCTGAATTGAATTTAGTTGCTTATGGAACAGCTGGTTGCGTGGCAACCCTTCTTCACGATGGTGTAATGAATCCAGCAGAAGGTAATATGGTTACAAATTTATCAGTAACACAACTTAATCATTGTAAATGTGTTGTATCGTATACACATGGTGTCTCAAAAAGATTTTCTTCCAGCAAAATTACAGATGTTTCATGCTAAGACAAAAGAAAGAATCCTTTACTATTTTACTATTTTCCGTTTGTTTTCGAGATTTAAGTGTTTAAAAATTGAATATTTATCGACTTTCAGGGCGTCCTTTTATTTAATTGCGTATAGCTTAAACGAGTTCATTTTTAATCACCTGTATTTTAAAAACAAGGTCGCAAATTGTAAAATAGTAAAAAATTTTCAACGTGTTTTAACATGAGGAATCTGCAAAGTGCATGATGTAAAAGCTTTCTGAAACACCTTGTACAGGTAAATTATATATATATTATTTTAAAAAAAAAAATGCAAATCACTAATTTTTTGGGGGAAAACACAAGCTAAATGTCGTTCATAATTTTTAGAATTTTATCCAATGAAGAATAAAATTATCTTATTCCAGTGGTCAAACAGCGATTACAAATGTATAATTCTCCTTATCAAAATGTTGTATCGTGTATAAAGAATATATACCAAACTGAAGGTATACGTGCATTCTATAGAAGCTACACAACTCAATTGGCTATGAATGTGCCTTTTCAAATGGTTCACTTTATTATTTATGAAACTACACAAAGCTTCACAAATCCAGACCACACTTATAATCCTTTAGCACATATGGTATCTGGTATGTATATTTTGTATAAGGTAATGTACTACATAATATTGTATAAAGTATAGTTATGTTACTAATTTAGGTAATTATATTTAAAAATTAATTTATATGTAAAAGGACTGCGCTAATCAGTATTGTACATATAAATTATAGGTGCAATAGCAGGAGCTGTTGCTGCTGCATTCACAACACCTTTAGATGTTTGTAAAACACTTCTAAATACACAAAGTGGTGTACATGCTCAGGGAATGATAGACGCTGTCAAAAAAGTGTACAACTACGGTGGTATACGTGGTTATTTCCGCGGTTTGAATGCCCGTGTTCTTTATCAAATGCCGGCAACTACTATTTGTTGGTCAACGTAAGTATATAATTAAATAATATTTGAAATTGTTAGATGCCATACAAAGATATACCATTATCAGATTTATAAATTTAGATAAAGTAAAAAAGAAAAAATTAAATATGACGATTATATATGTTCTTTTTTTATCACTTATCTAGATACGAATTTTTCAAATATGTACTCCATAAAAAGCAAGATGACGGATATTGTGGACCAGAGGCCGACAATGATTTAAGTGGAACAGGTCAGATGCAAGCTACTCCTTCCTGGTCTAGTCGTATTCAAAACGTACGAGTATATCTTGACAAAAATACTCCAGCCTCGGAGTTACTCGATGTGACTACAAGTTAGGTATTTTTGAATTTTTTTTTAATAGTACCATTTAAATTGCACCGAAGAACTGTTGGATGAAGATGCATCCGGTTTTCGTATTTGAAGAGTTTATCGATAATATTTCGTTAATTCATCTGTTACAATGGTATTATTACACGTGTATAAATAACTCGTAACGAGTGGGTATTACAATTCAACGATTGAAAAATTCATTTTTGAGTCAAGTGCAGGGCGCAGGCTCATTGAAAGGAAAATTTTAATTACTTCTTCATACATGGCTGCTTGAAAGAAGATGTGTCACTTATGATATAATTGCATTTTATATATATATATATTAAAAACAATCATATATAATAATTTACGAACATTATTAACAAATTAGAACGTTACAAACTGACAGTAGTATCAAATGATAAAACAGTGAGTTATATAAACATTTTGATATTTTCTGATATTATACGTATTGTAAATTTGTCTAAGTTATTTTATTTTATTGAACAAAATAATTATTGCTGTATCATTCTAAAAATGAAAAACAAAATGAAATTAAAAATTAGCAATATTATTTTAAGATCTATACATTTATTGATACTAGTTAGGTGATTGCTATCAAGTGTGAAATAATGGATAGAAATATTATTGTCTATCGTACTGTTCATACGAGGTAACATAAAAAATCCACTACAATAATTTTAAAAAATATATATAAGAATTTGAAACATATTAAATTTGAGAGCCTGCTCTTGAATAGTAATTATACAGTATGTTCAATGATTGTACCATATATGTATTTAGATTAAAAAGAGAACCGTGGGATGCATGGAAAAAATGATTAATGATAAAATGTGCATAGTGTAATTAAGTCGGCTTAATTGAAAACTAATGTTACATTTAAAAATTCGTAATTAAAGAATCCCATACGTTTTGGTAAAGGAAGAGCGAATAATTTTTATTACTATTCAATAGTTGTACTAAATGTAAGGCAGGTTCTAAGTTTAGACAAAATATAAGTTTATCAAGATCTATCAGTCTTGAAATGAAATCTTAGATAAGTGTTATATATATATATAAAAAAAAAGTAGAATTTAGAGTAATACGGAGACAAAATTTTATTACATTAACTGTCTTAGACCAATTACAATCATGTAAATTAATTGATTTTTAGAACAATGGAGATAAATTAATATTTACATGCGTATGTATAACAGTATGAGGAGACAGAATAGAAAGAAAGAAAAGAAATGGCAATGTTACTGTTCGATAAGTACGGCTCGCCTTGATTATACAAGTACAAATTAAGAATTGCTCCTTAGTCAGTTTGTAATATAAACAACATTGCATCTAAACTTTATGATGTACCACAATATTGCTTCCTATGGCTGTGATTACTGAGTCATTTGATGTTGACTTTAAGAGGGAGTAATATCATGTGAGAACTCATATTTCACGCCATATTTATTTATTATTAATCATTGTTACTGATATATCATTATTTGGCGCTACAAAACATGTCACTAATTTTTATGCACCTAAAAATATACACACTTTTTACAAATATTTTTTGGTAGACTTGTCGCAATGATAAATATATATATATATATGTATTATTTTTTAAAATACATAAAAATTTTTAGTAAAACTTTGACAAAAAATATAGCACATTTGTACACAGAGGAATATACATATTATATGTATAACATTCAAGTGTACCAAATAAACTGCAGTGTGTTCAAATGATTTTCTTAATAATCATATATTTTACGAGTGATGTAATTTCTCAAAATTTATTTAATGCGCAAAATTTCATTATATATTCTTTCTTTTTTAAGTGTTTAAATAAATACTCACCTTGCATAGGGTAAAAGATAGTATCAGCCATCCGGTTTCTATCAACATCCAAAATTTACATTTGCGGAGATCACAGCAATCGGTTGATTCCTCCGGATTATTCATCTAAAAAATTAATAAACAAATCATCATGTATTTTCCAAAATTAATTATACACGCTAAAATAATCTCTGCCTCTAAAATTTGTTGTTTAATTAGTTTGTATGTAATATAATGATCCCACTGGTATCGTATAAGTTAATGATAGTGTATTTAAAAAAAAAAAATTGATTAATACACGATAAAAACAGAACATATTATATGTAATAATTATGTAAATAAAATGATTCTGTAAACTATGTAGAAAAATATATGATAATACTTTTTTTTTTTTTTGCCTACTGCACTGACGCAAGGAATTGTTAATAAATAAACATTAGAGCATCAGAATACTATACAATTTTACTACATAAATATACCATGTAAAGAAAAAATTCTTTTTATACAAATCACTGGGTCTATATTTAACTTCCTTGTTTACTATTCCATATTACATTACCAAGTATAATTTAATGAAATGAAATCATGTCAAGTAGAGGAGTATGCGATACACGTTGTCAAACGTTTCTTACTGCAATGATACAGAAAGAAGAATCAACGCGAATCAGATGGTTTCTGAAGAATCAAGAAAAACTATTAAGCCGTTTAGGAAAGGAAGTTACTACACCGCCTACGCGTGAGCCAGACAAGAAACAAAGCGTGGATATTGTATGAAATCAGATTGCATGCTGTAACAAGTTATCCAAACTATTACAGTAAAGGTTAAATGTCATTTTCTGTTTCGTAGATACGTTTAAAACCCTTGCCCAACTGGAGACCGATGGAACCTGACGGTTCTATCAACATGGATATAATGAAACCAATTGACCCCGAAGTAAAAGCCATTCTATACGAAGGCGCTCCAAGTTTTATCACCGCTGAAAATTATACTCGTAAAAGGTTTTGCAATTTGTGACAACAATTTCTTGTCAAACGAGAAGATTACAATAGATTACACGTCGTATCTTCAATATTATTATAGTTAGGAAAATAAAAAGTTAAAATACGTTTGTTTAACGATTTACAGTTAAACAAAAGGATCTCTCTTCTTTTCGTTGAAAAAGATATTTTTCAAATCAGTACAGTGTACTAATGTGTTTGCTGGTAATTATAGATTAAAAGATCATCCCGAAGACCGTTTTTACTATCCGGATTGCACAAGTTGGGTACATGGATGGCGCCTTACAGATTATCCACCCGTTCCAGGGAGCAAAGTTGGAAAAAGATCCGTTATGATGCGTCAATTTTATCATCCAAAAATATCGAGTCTTACTAAAGACCCAGAATGGTATCGTCCGTGCCAAAAAACGCCAAATAAATGTAACGGAGATATGAGCTAACGGAAGATGCATTTCTGCTACAAAATGTTTCAGAGAAATTTATAATGGTAAGTTCTTTCATTGTTCAACTCTATTACATAAAATTCCAAATTTACTATATTATGTTTTATTTAAATTTATGTAACTGAACTTCACATCTCAACTATTTTCTTCTTTATTTTTATCTGAAGTAATTAATCGCTGCAACTCTAACGGCAATAAATATTCTGCCTGACCCGGTACAGCATGGAACACAAAGTCAATGAATTTCTGGAAGTATTTGGTAATCTGACATAATTGTTCTTCTAATAATTTCTTCTCCACGTGACACTCAACGATTTCTTTCCTCATTACAGTTACAATATTCTTCAAGCGAATGATCAACTCGTAGATATCGTCGATTTGCCTCTGTTTGTTTTACGAATGAAACAATACGTTTTTATCAATGACTAATGCGTATGTATAAGTTAGAAGATTCAATTACCTCGAAGTATTTATGTATGGCATGCTTATCCCTGTCACTTCGAAACCGTTCCAAACAAAGAAGATAGATTATCTCAACTGCATTTTGCATTTCAAGCTGATGCCTCTGAATGTACAATTCCTTATTCAATCTCTTCTCGAATTCATGCATGTTCTTGTTTAATTGTACATGTTTCTCTCTGTAGAAAAATGTTCATTTGAAAAATGTAATTGTGGGCTAAATTAATAATTTGAGAATGTATTAAATAGGAACCTCATGATCTGATTGAAATCAGCAATGATATTTTCTCTTTGAGCACGAAAAGAGTCCTCAAAATCTTTGTACAACGTTTGGACGACGTGAGATATTTCAATGCGCATCTTTTTCATCATTTCATGGACCACCTTCGTCCGTTCTTGTACAACTGCTTTTTGGAGATTCTTGGCATTTGCAGCGGTCACGTTTGCCCATTCTATCTGAGAAGAGAAAATATTTCCCGTGTGAAAATCATACAATTTTATCAAGGAACTCGATAAAACTCGATATCTTCGGGAAATTAGATACCTTCGGGGAAATTAGATATCTTTGTATAATGTATCATTAATGATATTTCTTTTAACGTACTGCACATGAAGGATTAAGTTGCGCATCAAATCGTCTGATAAAGCTTGGAAGAAAAAAAAAACCGAATCTTTTTATCTCGTTGAATTCTATGACTGGAATTAATCGTATCTTGAATTACTATTTAAAAAAGTCATACCCTACAGGGCCGGCCCTGAGATTTCGGGGATCCGAAGCGAGCTCCAAAAAAGGGCCCCTTCGCATATATGACATGAAGAAAAGTACCTCAAATAAAATTTATAAAATTAACATTAAAGCTTGTATAACTAATTTAGATTTGCATTTACGGTAAACATTACTCTTGCATTCTTAGACGCAAAATCGTCTTATGGGGGCCCTAGGTGGCCGCCTAGTCTCCCTAGGCTCAGAGCCGGCCCTGATACTCTAAGTACTCTTATTCAAGATTTTCTGCAGAATTCTACTTGAATTAAGAAAAGAGATTACTTCTATCTGTTCTTGTAATTCCTTTTGTACATTTCTCAAATAGTTCTCGTATTTTTCGTGTAGTCGTTGAGCGTCCTCTTCGGCTTCCCGCCTTTTTCGCGCTTGGTACATGAAGAACTTTTGATGGGATTCTTTCTCTATCCTTCCTCGTAGGTTCTTCTCAATTTCTTTCTCAACACTTTTCAGAATCTCTTCTCCTAGTTCTAATGATTTCAATGGATATTACAATCGTGCACAACGAATTTGGGTTTACTATCATTACCTAATATATTCTGATGTACAAATGCTTTGATAATTTGATTATCCGACGGCGGTACGTAGGCGGTGTCACGCGAGTCATCTTCAGACGAAATCGAGAAACATGCTTTCGATACTTTGGGCGGCGTTAGGACGTCGATTAACTTCCTCGTGTCATCGTGGATGTATTGAAAAAATATTTGGGCTAAGGATGGGCCAAGACAAGCGCGAATCGATGACGATGGTAGAGTACCAATGTTCGGACACAGTTTTGCTTTGCATTCTGAATTTATTCGATCTGTAACAATTTTATTTTATATATCTCTTCAATGATACAAAAAGATTGAAGAAATATACTGCCAAGAGGCAAATTTAAAGATTTGAAATGAAACTATATATTTTTTTCAGATCAACTGATAGTACGTTTCGAGACGAATTCAATAAACTATGATGCATATACTTTTTATTAACCCACTGCGGACGAATTATTTGGTATTCAAATAATTCAGTCGTCGAAGATGATGTCTTTAATCGTATTTAGAAATTTGTGATAAAGTTTGTTAAAAAAAAAGTAACATTTCTTTCTGGTATCCCTATTAATTGAGGTGTATGTATTATAAGCTATTACATTCGTCTTGAAACACGCTATGGAATGATCTGAAAAATAAAAATATATCATAATTTAACGCGAACATCTTATTCACGCATGTGAAATGCATTTTTTTAGATTACAACTCACTCATGTCTTTGTACTTGAAAATATTTTGCAGTTACCTTTACAAAGAATTTAACCTTTTCAAATCTACATTTTTTAGCAGATGACAGGCGATTGGAAGAAAGAAATAAAAGAGGAAACGGTTAATATATGTTATGTAAATATTGTGAATGTAGAAGAACCACTATAAATTTTACGAATTGAAATATAGTTAAATAATTTTGTACATACATTGTTCATAACATTATTGAATATTATTTTAATCCGCCCGTAATATACGTTGGAAAGTAAGAAACGTAAACGGAAGCTGTTTTTCGGTATTGTGAACCTCGTCATATTTCATTTGATAGACATTTAGAAAGAAATTTTAGTTAGGTTACAATTACGATTTTGCACGTACGCAATTATTTTGCCGAATCTTTCAGTTGGAATAAAGTTAGACCTTGCAAAAATTTCAATCCAGAAAGCAAAAAATGTATTCTTAGGATAAGAATGTATTTAAATGCTGCTGCTCTAAATTAAAGAGGAAAATATAAAAGCTGTAAATTTGGAAATTTAAGAAGTAGAAATAAGAACATAATCTTATATATTAATTATTGCATTAAAAGATAGCATTACATATTGCAAAGTAAATTAATTAATTTTTTAGTAACAAATTCTTATTGGTTTCGACATTTAAGCAACTAAAAGCAATTAACAATAGAAAAGTTAAACATAAGTTGAATTTATTAATTAAATTAAAAATTCCAAAAGATGAAATGTTAAAAAATCTTTTTTATCTGATCATATTTATACGATTATCGTTTCAACTTAAGTAAAAATTAATTCGAATTCGACGTGATCTATAATCTAAGATTCTAAGTAAAAAAAATTACCTGATTCCTCAATTTCTATTAACAGTGAACTCTGGTCTCCTAATTTTATGAAAATGTAAAAAAATGTATAACTTTTGAAGATAAATAACGAATTACTATAGTACCATTGTTAAGCAAAATGAAAAATATAGTAGCGACTTGAACTTACGTTAGCATAAATCTGCGTTGTATATCGTATATGAACGACGGTAGTGTCGCCACCTACTCTAACCTTTCAATGTCGATACACGAGGTTCTAGTCTTTTGTACTATAAACTGTAGAATATGAAAATAAATAAAATCGGCTTCAACAATGTTACCAATTATGCAACTTGTTACAGATCAATTAAAGCGACGTAATAGTTTAATGTTATCATCATTGTTAAGGTCTTCAATTGTATAATTTTATATATTCGTGTAACCCAAAAACTGTTCCAATGTAATTACATCAACTTATGTATGAAATTTTATTATTTTCAGGCAATTAAGTCGCACAGTATCTGGTACTCAAAGTTTAAGAAAAAAGGAAGACAAAAAAAATGTACCTTTTACATCGTTATTTAAACCTGTTGATGTCAAATCAGAGATTGATATGAATGTTGGTGCTGAATTAGCTGGACAGTTAAAAAAACGTGATGTTATACAGATTTTAGCTACTTTTGCAAACACGAAATCCATTAGAGAATTAAGCACACAATATGGATTGGATGGTAATTAATACGGTTTATATTATTTTTATTAAAGTATTCATTCATGAATTGTTTCTTGTCAGTACTTCAATCTTTTCTTCTTCTCTTCAGATACCATTTTTAATACAGCTATGGGAAATTTTCGGAAACACTGTATAGAATCTGAATCACTTCCTGCGGATATTCATGTAATTTTAAGTGATCTCACTCAAGGAGTTGGACATATTACGGATCTATTTCCTTATTTTTTACGCCATACTAAACAAATGTATCCACACATTGATTATCTAGAGGAACTAAAAAAAATCAGTGACTTACGAGATCCTCCTCAATGGTATATCGATGCAAGATTTGTATAAAATTTACCCATCAAATTGGTTTAAATTTTAGTTCATTTTTATTACTGACAATAGGTATCCTATAGCAAGGACAAAGAAAAGAAAACTTATATTTCATGCTGGACCTACGAACAGTGGTAAAACGTATCATGCTTTACAACGTTTTATGACTGCCACATCTGGTGTTTATTGTGGACCATTAAAACTGTTAGCTGTTGAAGTTTTTAACAAGTGTAACAGCATGGTTAGTATCATTCGTGATATCATCTTTTAAGCATGCTTATCGCATTAAACGTTTCTAATTTTAGGGTACACCTTGTGATTTAATAACAGGAGAAGAACACAAGTATGCAAAGGATGTAGATTCTCCTGCGAGTCACGTATCGTGTTCCGTAGAAATGGTAAATGTACAAAATACTTGTAAGTATATTTAATTACAATGAAGTAATTAAACTGATACTGTTCAATGCAACATTATTAAAATGTTTTTAATAATTATTATAGATGAAGTTGCTGTAATTGATGAAATTCAGTTGGTACGTGATCCTAATAGAGGTTGGGCATGGACAAGAGCTTTTCTTGGTGTTGCTGCGGATGAAGTACATTTATGCGGTGAAACTGCTGCTATACCTATAGTATGTTCCTCTTATTCTACAAATTATATATTGAAATAATAACAGAATAATTGAAGTAAATCGTACATGGTATCCTTATTATAATACAGATAGAGTCTATGTGCCTAACAATAGGTGAGCAGTTGGAAGTGAAACGATACGAACGGTTGACCGAACTTCGTGTAGAAGACAAAGCACTTTATTCTTTAAATAAGGTTCAAGAAGGAGATTGTATAGTTTGTTTTAGTAAAAATGACATATTTGTCGTTTCGAATGCCATCGAAAAAATGGGAAAACAAGTTGCAGTAATATATGGTAGTTTACCACCAGGTACAAAACTTGCACAAGCTGCGAGATTTAATGATCCTGATGATCCTTGTAAGATACTTGTAGCCACAAATGCAATAGGAATGGGTTTAAATTTGTAAGTTTATAATGGAGAACTTTGTTTATTTAACACAGTGGTTCTCAAACTTTTTTGTCTGGCAACACACTGAAATCATTAAACAAAATTCACGGAACTCCTGTTATTATTATTTGCTTTTTACAGTTAGTAAAGATATGAAAATTTATTAATATTTGGCTTTTTACATATAGAAAATTCAAGTTTACAAACAAATTTCGCGGCACCCAGTTTTAGAACCACTGATTTAACATATAATATAATACAAAAAAAAAAACATATTATTTCAGACATATCAGGAGAATTATATTTTATTCCGTTACTCAGCCAAGTATAAATGAGAAAGGAGAAATAGAAGTTGATGTGATCTCTGTATCATCTGCATTACAAATAGCAGGTCGTGCAGGACGTTACGGAACAAAGTGGTCAACAGTAATGTGCAGTTAAACTTAAATAATGAATTTATAATAATTATGTCATTAAACACTAATCATTTATATTGTAGGGTTACGTTACAACTTATAAACCCGAAGATCTTAATTTATTAAAAAGTTTATTAGAGAAAACTCCGGAAGATATAGAACGAGCTGGACTTCATCCGACCGCCGATCAGATTGAATTATACGCTTATTATTTACCAAATGCAGCGTTATCAAATCTCATTGTAATATTTAGTTATCTATATTTATTTATAGCTTAGCGGGATTGTGAGTACGATTAAAAGTTTTCTTTCAGAACATTTTCATCGCACTTTGCGAGCTCGATGATTCTTTATATTTTATTTGTAATTTGAGTGATTTTAAATTTGTTGCGGATATGATACAACATATACCATTACCTCTTCGAACAAGATACGTGTTTTGTTGCGCACCGGTTAATAGAAAAGTACCACTTACGTGTAGTATGCTTTTAAAGGTAAAGTAAAAATATATTTCTTGATACTTGTACATTACTTGTAGTAACGTGTTTACATGCATATTTTGTTTTATTCGTAGTATGCCCGACAATGTAGTAAAAATGATCCAGTAACAGTTAAATGGTTGAGTCATCAAATTAATTGGCCCCCAAAAATACCAATGAATCTTGTTGATCTTGTACGTTTGGAAGGTGTATTTGATGTATTAGATATTTATCTTTGGTTAAGGTAAATAATTGTGTGATAATTTTAGTTTTTCTTGAATAATTTAAGTTTTGATACTATTTGTAATTTATGTAGTTATCGAATGCCGGATTTGTTTCCTGATGGCCCTGCGGTTAGGGACTTGCAACACGAGTTAGACAAAATTATTGAAGAAGGAGTTCGAACAATTGCACAATTGTTCAGAAAGCCACAGCTGCCGGAAGAAGGTATAATTAACAAAACAGTATATATTACTTATTTAATAATAAATCAAGTAATAATATTTGACTTTGTTAAACAGATTTTATAGAGAAACGGGAAGGAACAGCTGAGACGGGTAATTTATTGAATATCAAAAATGCTAATTTCTGCTGTTGACAAATGACTTATATTGCATATTTTACAAAAATCTTAGGGAAATCTACACTAAGTCGTTCGTTAATATCGCGAGGACTTTTAACGCCCAAAATGTTAGAACAATTAAAAATGGAGTGGTCGACGGTAAGGAAAGAAAATAATTATTATTTCTATGATTAATAAGAAATAACTATAATTTTCAGAATTTTCATAATAATATAAATAATAATTTAAAATTAGAAATTAACAAAATTTCATGTATTATATTGGTAATTTCAGGAACGTAATGGATATAAAACAAACAAAAATAACTACAATGATCAATCTTATAATAAACATAAATATAAATTTCGTAAATGAAATATACTTTTAGTGTTATTACAGTCCAATTTAAATTAAATTGAAATTTATAAGAGGATATATTTATATTTGTGTACCTTTACTTAAAACATAAGTTGACGCTATCGAAACTATTTGAATTAAAGAAATTTTTTTAAAACATAATTTCGTCTTTTATACCTTTGATTAAAAAAAGAAAATTCATTTGTTTCGTATAAATAATGTACATTGGTAATAAAACAAGTAATACATGTAGTAAAAATTTTGTTTCTTGGTTTTATTTGAAATTATTGTTTAAATATATTTACAAACTCATATTTGCGATCTTGTCTCCTTACGCGTTTACATTTTTGGCGGGTAGAGTGTACTTTCGAGTGTTTTCTGGTAAATATGGAACGTTTGTATGGAAAAGAAAAGAAATTTTTTGTTTTATGTTGTAATCTGTGAGATAGAGAAATGCACCTTGTACATCTGGACAAATCGTTATTCACTAGTAATGGACATAAAATGTGTCTCCACTTTACACCATCTTTATATGCATATTTCATGTAATTAATTTCTTGAAACCTTTCAGTATCATGTATACCTAAGTAATATGTAAAAAATTTAATGTTCGTTATCAGTATGAATTAGGAAATACATAGAAGAAGATATAAATACCTTGACAGACGATCCTTTGATCGAATTCATCAATTAGTTCTTCTATATCTACTAAGTTTTGTACTTTTAAATGTTTCCCCTCTCTTAAGAGGTTGTGAATTAATGGGTTTATTTCTTTATTTACAACAGCGCAATGCAACATCATATCACTCTTTATAAACACTTGTTTCTCTGCGAAAGGCATTCCACTTTTTGTCATACCCATGTATAGGTATACTATTGTTGTTGTATGACCTTTTGAAGTTACCAAGCAAGACCAACCGCGTGGTAATAATACTTCTGTACATACTTCAAGTAAATCTTCAAATAACATTTCATTTTTATCCGTATCACTGTATACAGAATAATGGGTGTCTAGTTGATCATAGTTTGAATTATTCACTATTTGATTTTCTATGTATATATTTTCAGTGGCATTAAAATTATTATCTGTCGATTTCTCCTTGGAAACGGTATCTCCTCTTATTTTATGATTCAACATCGATGCATTATCTTCGTTGGAGGTATTAAAATCTTTAAAAGAAGAATCCAGTACTCTGTTAGATACATCAGAATAAGAATCTTCTTGACATATTTCATTCTGTTCTTCTGTTTCATCTTCCACTTTTATATTTTCTATCAAATCTTGGTTATCGGATAAAACCTCTTCTTTTACGCATACTATTGTATTTTGTTTCGTTTGATTTGAATTTTGTTTAGGGGATTCTTTATTTCTGGGTTTATTGTACGATATGTTATTAAGACTTGAACCATCCTCAGATAATTCCATATCATTTTGCAAATTCCTTTTGGAAATGTAACTATAGTCTACAAATCTATGCGGAAGCTGATACAATGATGAAATTTTAGGATCTTCAGCATAACTTATTTGTAATTTTCCTTCAGTTCTAGGTATCAGGAAATTTTGTTCCTTTTTCAACAAACCAGGTGTTCTTCTTGATTTAAATGGTGAATAACAATTTATATTTACATCAGAATCATCAGAATGTTCTTGAGACTGGGTATTTCCTTCAAGATGATAATTTCTTCCAGGAATAGCCCCTGGTCGTAATCTACATTTCTTATATTTAATCTGTAAAAGAAATGAAGATAGAAGGTAAATGAGAACAATAAAATATAACTATAATATCAAAGCTATTAATACTTACTGTTATTACATGTGGTGGCACTCCACTAACCCAGTGGGTAATGATATCATCTTTATGAAAATGTTTACTACAAACGTAGGTATCATCAGTGACAGAATAATTTTCAATGCCAATAGCACTTTGCCACTTTTTACGTAATTCTGGGTCCTTAGGTGCTGAGAAAAAGCTATAAGTATTCCTGTAATTGGTTTCCTTACACAATACGCATTTACGCGTCATAATGACACTACGAACTGTATTTTCACGTTGTTCTACTTAAATATTACAATTGGTATTTATTATATACATTATGCGCTATGCCATGAGCATACGATTATTTAACTTCAAACAGTAAATCACCGAAATCTATATAGGTTATAACATTTTTACATTACAATTTCAGTTAAAAGTAAACTATAATTACTTATAACTTCGATTAATGTCATTTACTATTATTTATATAGAATTTTTCAGTTAGCTAAGTTTATCAAACACATTTGTTGAACATATTTTTTTAAATAATCGTCCCATATATTTTCGTTCAACAATACTCCTCAATAAGAGATGTCAATACTAAAACTTAATTTTGCAATACATTTTGTACAATTAATATTTCGCAATATCGTCAACAGAAAATTTCAACAAACTAACATACAATATTTGAAAGCGTTTTTGCAACATTTTAAAACGCATTATTTATTTGGATCCGAAATTTTTAGAAGACTTTTGCTGCCCTCTATCGACAAAGTTTTACATAAACATGAAATCGCCTGTTTGACAAAGATTCGTTAAATAATTAACACTCTAAAAAAGTAGTTTATTTGCTGATTATAGGTAAACAAATATTTATTTCATTTCTTTTGTATTTCTCAGATATTTATAAGTTAATTGCGACGGGCTAGCTCAAATTGTTATAGCGTTTTCGAATCCATAGAATGAAGTTTCTTCAAATATTAATTTTAAAATTTCAAACAAGCTGTAATATTATTGTTTAAATTAAATTAGATTTGCATAACATTGTTCTTGCCTCAGGAAAACCCAGAAATGATTTAATTCAAAAAAAATAAATGATAATTTTCTATTTTAGTAGTTTCTCTGCTGACCGCTACATTGGCGCCAGCGATGCTGTTTCTGCTGCGAACTTTTTAAAATATTGTAAAAGCGTTTCGACCCTTAAATTTCAAATCAGGAATGAAATGCTTGGAGTAGAATATTTCCTGTATATTTTAGTGTAAGTAACAAAGAACATTGTTTCTTTTCACAGGATGTGAGGTATTTTAAAGGTACATGAACAATACGCGTTTATAGAGCATGTGGGATCTTTTCAGCAAAGAAAACACATTGTTCAGGGGCACATGATTCTCATTGTCAGCATCATTTTAGCAAATAACTTGAAGATTTCAATGAGTCAAGAGGAGATAATATATTAAATATATATTAAGGTATTAAAAGGGCGAAGATTTAAATTTATTGTCAATTCTGAGAAAAATATCAAAACTCTTTTTAAAATTTTATGTTTAAAATTGATTTCTTTCGTTTCAAATTTTATTTTATATGTCCGTTGCAGGTATATATTACACATTGATAGTGAAACGAAAAGAATCTCTTATACAGATTGAAGGGAACGAGAAAGCGTTGGAAAAGAAGGAAAGTTGCGGTTGTTCTTAACGGCGCCTCGACATTGAAAGTAAATGCATGAAAATTGCATAATTTCATTGGAAACGGTCAACTGATTGTAGCTCAATTATGGTTTACAGTTTTTATGACTTGTACCATAAAAGTCTGTATTCAGTGCAGAGCTCTGCCACCATGTTATATTTTTTAAAACATGGGATTTTTTTCAAAATGGTAGATGAGGAATTGTAAATTTACATATCATGAAATTGCATTAGATTCTGGACATTTCCAAATTAGCCATAAATAAATGAAACAACCTAATACTGTTTTCGCTTATTATAGGGGTAGTTTATTCTCTAAATACAGAAACTCTGGAAAATTTGTCTACACATGTTTAATTTTCATACTATAATTTTAATATCTCGTTATAGATAAAGCTTCACTTCATAAATTTGCATAAAAATTATTTTTATATCTTCTACACTTTTTAAGAAAATCATTTTCAAAATCATCTACTGTTTTGAGGATAGTTTTTACACACAGAATGTATCTCAAATTTAATATCATTTAATTATTGAGTTATATTTGAAATGATAACGTTACTGGTGAAAGTGTGCAATTGATTTTCCTATAACTTTGCGTTAGAATCCTCCAACCTATTCGAATCGAGGGTAAAATAAGCGCACTTGGTACACCACGCAAAATTACGCTACGATACGCTTGGTTTCACAGGCGATCTACTTTTCAGAGATAACTGGAGTAATTTACATATTTAGATGAACTAAAATCTTTGCCTGCTAGTGAAGAGGTATAGAAATTTTCCTAACGAATTTACTGTAATTCACGTTTAAATTATGTAAAGGTAAATAAAATTTGAATTATGAAAAATTAAATATTAATATTAATTATATAATATTAAAAATGAATATTAATAATATTTCATTTTCTACTGAAAGATATGTTTAAAATATTGATTCTAAATTTTTCAGAATAATTATTACACATTTTAATTCAAGAACAAACTTGCAATTTTAATTTGCTTTTATCCTGATTGCAACGTGGTCAGCTATGTTCTCCAACAAACGACGAACCATTTTAAGTTGTGCAACGTTAAATGAACAGATTGCATGCAATCTAAACCCACACCATCTTCAAAGGGCACTTTCTCACGATGTTCTTTCATGTCTACAAACCTTTAACAGCAATTACGTTGCACGGAATCAGGTATACACAAAAATCTTAGAAACAGCCAAGAGAAATCAATCTCACAGAAAATCTCAGACTACATTTCATCACATAAAACTATCGTGAAATAATACTTATGTTATATAAATTTAAAGCTTAAAATTTGTAGAAAGTAACTATGCAATGCTTTTATTAATAATTTTAATATAAATTGATTAATTGTTATAGAACCATCACTGTGTATTACACTGTAATTGATGAAGATTCTTTAATTATCAATTAGTTTGTATTAAGAATATTAATGAAATATTTATATCATAATTTTCTTTATATTTTAAGCTTTAAATTGATGTATCACACGTTCATTTTTGTGATACTTTTATGTCATGAAATTGATATTTTCAAATTAGCCATACATGCAACAATCTAATACTATTTTAACTTATTATTATCTTTCTTTCAGGTCTCGAATTTTATTACGGAATATTATCGAAGAAGGTGTTAAATAATTTCACTGAAACTGAAATGGATCGTCACGCTCGGCCAAAGAATGGTAAATCTCATTTCACGGATCCATCGATTCCGGGAAGAGTGTTGTAATACAGGAAACGATATACGCAACAGGGACAAAGGATACTTAATGAGGGTGAAATCGTTTTCAATGTTCATTCTTCGACGAGCCATTGTTCTATTTTGGCGCTTATCGGTTGTGCATTAGTGCGATCTTGTAGTTTCTTGTAGGTAAATCTTGTCTCACTCTTGTTCTTCTCTTGTGTGTAAGGAAATTTTGAAATCACTTTTACTTAATGGCATTGTTGCTAGAAAACGAAAGTTTCATGGTAATTATTTATAAAAATTGGCAAAGACGAGCATTCTTATTGTAGTTTATAAAAAGGCAATGAAACTATGTTAAAAATTTATTTTAAATGATTAATATTTTACTGTAAAACATTAATTCAATTATATATTAATTTAAACAAGAATTCTATAGTTGCATAACGACTATTTATCTTCTCATTCATTGTCTTCAGATGGTAGATCATTTGCAGCTACTGACATTAATTGCCATTAATTTATGTCAAGTAAACGTAACACAATCAGTAAATTAACACGCTGAATGCCACAGTGAAATTGAAGCTCTAATTATTAAGAATAGAAATAGTTAATTTTCAAATTTCAAATTTAAAGCTTTCTATTTACTATTTTACATTATTTGTACAATATCAATATTATTAAAAATAATGTTCTTCTTTTGTAATTTGCGGTGCCAAGCACAGGTGACCCCAATAACATTCAACGTATTAATAATAAGCGTTAGTTATTAATCGTATTCATATGGTATATAGTTTCTTTCGATTGCATTTTTAGGACTTCACGGTGTATCAAACATCTGTTACATACAAAGAGTACCGCTAGAATCGAGCCAGCAGATCCACTCACTGCGAATACCAGCAAACCAGGTTCTTCTATTTTGCTGCTGCAAGTTGTATCAAGCAGTCGGTTAATAGGTGAATTTACTGTTCTCGATACTTAGCCATTGGCACATGACCGATATTTCAGATTCCAGAGGGAAATTATGTCATGAATGTAGCAAGAACGAAAGCACGTAATATCTCTTCATTGTTTTGAATTATCAAGAGTTAGAAGAGGATTAGAAGATTAGAATAATCAAGTATTGAAATATTTGTACAGTAACAATTAGTAAATAGTAAAAAATTAAAATTGATTTTAAATATTATTAATATCACATTAATTTCTCAAGGTAGTAAATGGAAAGTTTAAATTGGAGAATGAAACACTTGCATTCGGAATAATTACAATTACAACGCGTCCACTTCACCGTGGCATTTAACGTATTAACTCTTCAATTGAATCAAGAAGGTATATAAAAATACTCAACACAGAGAAATGCTTTTTCTCTTTTGTACTAAAATAAGAAGAGAAATTCCAGTTCTGATTATTTTGTCTTTTTAAGAAACTGTGCAGCGTTAAGAGAAATCTGAACGTCGTCATTTGCGCCTGTCCTTTACCCTTTGAGCTTTGTCTGAGGAAGACATGAGCCACTTAAAAATCAGGTCGTATCTACAATCAAATTTCATTTTATAGGAACAATGAGAAGGTACTGTCTTTATTGTCTTTTCATCTACAGAGACATATCTAGGAATTAGATGAAAGGTATTTTCTTATTGAATTAGATTTAATAATATTGTTCATATGAATTAATAATTTGATAAATTATTATTTTACAGAAGCTTTGAGGACTTAAAATTAAAAAAGAGGATTTAAAAATGAAATGGAAACTTGAAAAATCAGAACTATGATAAATTAATTATTTTAAACAAATTATCCACAACCCAAGTACCAAGTAATGATTTTATAATAAGTATATTCAACAAATTTCAAATGCCATTAATTTAAACATTAATTTAAGTCAAATAATAATCAAACGCTATTCTTATTCCTCATTTAGTTCAAGAAAAGTTGAAGAAGAAAATCATGCCTTTGGGAATCTAGCCATAAAGATAAGACATCAAACTGAAATCTCGAGCAACAAAAGGTGAATACGTTGCGGACCCTCTCTTCTTCGAGGAAGTCGCCGAAAGTGTAACAGTAGGTTTCTCAGAGCTCCCGGTGGTTCTCCGGATGAAGAGGATCCAGTCTGGGTGTTGTTACTCGACTGCTTCGTGGTAGACTCGAAGGTAGACCCGAGGTCACGAAGGTTCAACAGTACAGTGGATTAAGGATCGTCAAATGAGCTGGTGCATGGTGGAAGAAAGGATCGTAGATGATCCAAGTTTGTCCGATTGGACCAGTCAGTGTTTCTTTCACTCTCCTCTAGTGTTAACAACAAACGTTCTAACTCTCTGATTTTGGAGAACGCTGCATCTTGTTGTTTCAATGATTTATTTAATTTTTATTTAATCAACAGTGGAAGAAACGAGAAGAAGAATGGTACATAAGTGAAGAAATTTAAAAATTTTATTGTGCTTTATTTATTTGGAACTCTGATCTTTTTGTGATAAATTTAAATTTCTTGAAATGTTTAATTTAATTTTGTAAGACTAAGAATTTTCTAAATCTTCTTTGAAATGAAGAAGATTATTTTATAAAATTTCAAGCCCAAGGAAAATCTTATGAATTCTCTTCTTAAATCGTGATGCGTTCATCAGTAAAACGCAACGATTTTTTTATTCAAGAATTTGCGAATCTGATTGATCTATTGTTGGATATGTTGAGAACGATTCGTAGCTGACGATTCGAAACTCGTTTTTCGTATTTGGGAAAACGTACTCGATGAATCGTAAAAGGATCAACGTTGCATTGATTCCTCATGGCTTTGATTGGCCACAAATCATAAATCGTTGGAGGATCATCGTCTTTCTGTCTCTTATCACGCTTATAGCACTGCCCTGCTGTGACAGTCGTGGTATGTAATAAAGTTTTATTAATTATTTAAATTTAATTCATCCAAGGGTCCATTGGTGCCTCAGGGGGTCTACAAAGGCTTTATAGAGTCCATAGAACCTTCATAATTTTTATAGAGTCTATAGGATCTTCATAATTTTATATAGAGTCCACAGAACCTTCATAGCTTTTTATAGAATCCATAGGACCTTCATAGATTCTTATAGAGTTCTCAGAAGCCTTATAGGGTCATCATATAATAGAGACTTCATACCATCTTTATAGACTCCATACAGGTATCATAAAGTCCTTATAAAGGCCTCACAGTTTACACAAAGACCTCATAAAGTTCAAACTAGGCTTTGGATTAAAAGATAAACGATAATAAATGATCTGTGATAATCGAATCTGTTTACCAAAGAAATTCCATTACAAAGGGCATAAAAATGCAATGAGCCATCAAATTACAGCTTCTCAACACGTTTAAAATATCTTTACTTCTAATGGTCGTTAAGCAACTTGTTTTTTACTGTAATAATTATTGTACGGTACTCTGTAAGCGGAAGTGTGCCTCGCTTTTATAGAACATGGTGCAGCAAGCGTGAAATAAAAGAACGCTCTTGAAAAAAATAGGAGAAAAAGTGCGTTTTCGAGCGCAGTCAGATATTAACAAGTGGACTGAAGAAAATAAATTCTAATGTTAACGATAAAAAGAAATTCATTCGGTAATTTAGTCTTTTATTTATTATAAATTTCAATGTGCAGCTAGGTATACTCCAAGTACCCAAAGATTGACTGGGAATAAACAAAAGTACAAATTATATAAAAATAGACCACTAATTAATTATGTAGAAGACGAGTGGGAAAAAGGAAATCTTCAGATAGAAGAAAGTGACAAATCTTGGAATTCAGTATCTATCCAACAGCTGAAGGAAGATATTTACATGCATGAACCTATTTCTGTTAACGTTACACACAATGATACAAAAGAATTATTGTAAGTTTAATATCTTACTTCGTTACACTTAATAGCTTTGTTATATATTTTAAAAATATATATCCTGTTTTAGGATACACAGCGAACAGAATTTATCACATAAGAGGTTTAAACGCGGTGTGATACATCTTTATAACATGATAGTTTGTGCCACTGGATGTAATCCTTTATCTTATAAAGGATATGGATGTTATTGTGGTTTCTTGGGGTCGGGATATGTAATAGATGGAATAGATAGGCAAGACTTCCTTTAATTTATAAAGTTATATAAAATTTATGTTTAAATTTTTTATAACTTCTTACAGGTGTTGTAAAATGCACGACTGGTGCTACGATGCTACAGACTGTCCAATGTTCTCAGAATACTTTGTACCATATTATTGGAGATGCTACCATGGTTATAAACCCATATGCGGTTTGTCTGATCTAATTTATATTTCTTATACATTTCTTATTAATCTATATTTATTCAGAAACATATATTATTGCTATAGCTGTTGAACACGGAAACTGGGGAGGATCTGGATCATGTGCTCAACGATTATGCGAATGTGATCGTTCGTTTGCTGAATGTTTAAGACATTACCCTTGCCCGACGACCAAAGCTATGTGCACATCGTCGCCTTGGAGATTGGTACAAAACCTTTTCATGGTCATGTAATTATCTACATACAAGGTATGATCAAAAAATGGGAAATTAATTTACAATTTGGTAATATTACGTTTATATGCCAAAGATAGCAAGGATGTACATTAATATATATCGTAACATCTGTTGCAACAAAAGGTACAAATTGTAATTAAAATAACATGTCATTTATCTTTATTGCGTTACAAGAGAAGTATATATTGCAATATAAAAAGATGTGTAATAAATATTTTACACAATACGTAATACCGTTTACTTCCTTGTTTTGTAATAAAATCTTATTTACATTGAACATCGTTCTGTCTTTAATATTAATTATTTACAAAGCACTTATGCCTCCCGTTAACCGCACAACCCTATTTTTATACTTCTTTGAAATATCTTTCTCTATCTGGAATTAAGATGAAAAATTCCATGGGTAAATATTTCACTAATAAATTCAGTTGATAAACTGTGATAGATACCTCTGATTGTAATTCTTTTGTTCTTTGTATGAGCAGCTGTAAGAGGGGTCGAAGAGTGGCAGCTTGTTCCGCAGTAGCTTCCCTTTTCTCTCTTACACTCTTCTGTAGAGCTATCATCTTCTCAACTAAACTTAATTTCTGTTTTAAGGATAAAGCCAACACGTCCACGTACCTGTAAATATAAATAATTATTATTTTCTTATGAATAACTCGTACAAATAACACTATTATCTTAATTACCTTGCAGAATGTTTAATATTGTGTAAGTGCTGAACTTTAGTATTTAAAATTTCAGACAAAACAACTTGAACATTATCCAACATATTTTGAGTACTTTCTAGCGTTGAATGTTGTAGACTAGAAGATGAATCTTGCAACTGACTGAAGCTCAAAAAATTCACATTATCATTTCCTTTAAACTCGTACAAACGTAATTTGAGAAATGCCTCCAGCTATAGAAGAATAACAAAATTTAAACCATAAATCATTAGAAATATCATATGCATACTTCAGTAGTTCAAAAATACCTCAAACAATTGATTAATAAAGTCATCTCTAGTAGCTGGATTATCAAGAACTCTGTACGCTTCGGTACCAGTAGCAGTTCCACCCTCGTGACCAGCTGCTTCTACAACTATACCAGATTCTTCTAAAGATATATTATAATCGATATCTCCAGGTGGTACCTCTTCCACATTTTCATCGCCCCAATCAATGTCACCCTCAGCATCTAAGTTAACATCATCACCAAAATCTATACCTCCATTTTCTACACCTCTATTTATATCAATTTCTCCAAAATCGATTCCCTGAAATCATTTTGACATGTATACCTAAATCATTTAAAACATGTTTTAAAATATTTTATAGGCATGTACATACGACATTCTCGATATTTTCGACTTTCTTTTTTTCTGAATCATTATCATCAAAACTTATATTTAATGGAGGCTCGTTAATCGATAATGGTGGTTCTCCATACATCCATTCGTATGTGGTAGTATTTCCTTTGTCTGTTTATAATATTAAATATATAATAACTGCAATAACTGGATAATTAACATGCTAACTCACCGATAATATATTTTACCATTGGAACACAACCACCATCGTGCTGTCTGCCAAGAGTATAATTAACAAAGCTGGAATAAAATTCAACAGGTTTTTCTAGAGATTTTGTTTTCTTTGCGATCTTTTCATAGATTTCAGGAAGTTCTTTCACTTTTTCTGCTAATTCTTGCTTAATTTGTTGACCAGGGACATCTAACTGCTTGCAAATGGAATTAAATTCTGACCTGGCTGTGTTTTCTGATTTTTTATAATCTGCTTCCTTTTTCTCCAAGTCCTGCCATGAAATAGATCAAGTTATATGGAATGAAATAATATCTGCCATGTCCATACTTACAACTTGCATTTGTTCTAGTTTCTGAATTTGCTTTTTAGCACTTGGAATTTCATAATTAACATTTCGTATAAGCATCTGAGCAATCTCTGCAAGGTACACATTCTCTTTTTCATATGAACTTAATATGTCTTGCCAGTCTTTCATTCTTTGGGAACCATACCTTCCAAATAAATTTTTCGTATCAGCTTCGGTTTCTTTTAGAATTTCTACTATCTTTAAACAGTGAAAATAATTTATATCTGAAAAATTAATGAAGGAATTAATATGAATAAAGTAATAAACATAACATATTACAAAATTTGACTTACATGAACCGGATAATAATTTTGCAATGCTCTCATGAACAGGCATATCTTGTATTGCATTATTAATTTTCTCTCTAATTATTAATATTCTTGCATGCCAATCTTTGTTACAATGTCGCCTATTAACTAGCCATTCTAATAATTTTCCAGTGTTGATATCAATAGGTATATTTTGTTCCTAAATAATGCATGATATTAAATAAAACTGTTTAGATATCATTAATGACATTAACAAATTTTAGTATTTAAAATTTACCTCCATGATGCAAAATTTTACAGCTGTTTTATTTAATTTGTTTACGTGTTCCCTTTAACAGGTTATAACAGCTGTTACTTTTGTTTGAATCATTTTAATTAAATGAGCTTTTCGATTTCGCCGATAGGACGCGCAAGGGCACCTGTGTCCTGTGTGCCAGGCGCGAAAACGTCTTCAGTTGAATGAGATTTTTTACATAAAGGTACATTTAATTCAGTTATTAATAATTGTTTTACGCCAAATTAAATGACGGTAAGTGATTTCAAAGAATAGTTTTAATGTAAAGGAAGATATTATGTAGAATATTTTATTGCAGATGAGTGAAGATACAGTTCGGGTTGAAAGAGGCTGTCAGATCTGCCTAGAAGTTGTTCACTCATCTGTAATAAAATATTCTACATAATATCTTCCTTTACATATGGATCATAGCACGACTTCGATTCTGTTCTATTTTATTTAATTTTTCTTTTTTAGTATATACAATATATATCCAGTTAATTTATTTATAATTCACCTAATTCTAACAAACTGAATTAAATGTAGTAAAAAATCTTCTCATTCAACTGAAGACGCTTGTTGAGTAATACACATAAAGTCCCGGAGCCTTTTCTTTAGCGATAGTGTCGGTTGCCGTAGGATTTACGATTAGTCAGTAGGAATCTGGCAGTATGTATAAGATTTTCCTGTGGTAATAAAAAAAATACTGCAAATACCGATTCGAGTAAGTGTAGTAGACCGAGGTCGCCGGCGGTGAAGCGATAATTTGACTCTGTAAATTAGCCGCTTTGCGTTAAAGCGCGTCAGTCAGTCTTCGGACGTCAAAGAGAGAGGTTGGGGATATGCTCTTATTATCGACCGTGGCGCCATCTATACAAAAATAGCGCAAACTATTCTACAACTTACCGATTGATTTTTTGAAAAAGGGAACATTGGCGCTGTCTACCGGCAAATAGCGGAAGCTCGGGGGCAACATACCGACTGCAGCGGAAATGGGTTGATAAGTCGGTAAGCAGTTTCCGCTAATTGCCGGTAGACAGCGCCAATGTTTCCAACCGATAAGTCATAGAATAGTTTGCGCCATTTTTGTATAGATGGGGATAGCATCGAATTTTATAAATATTTAATTTTTAATCATTTCTCGGCCTCATGCTAATTTTTACTAATTTCTAAAAAAAAAAAAATAGAATCAAAAGAAGGTGTGGTAAATGAGAAAATGCAAAATTTACATTTAACACTATTTCTTTAATATTCCATAAATGTTTGATATATTATTTAAATGACAAATTTATGAACAGAGTATTTTGGATATAATTCATTCAGGGGTGTTAGGAACCCCGAAGCACGGATGACACTGTATACCGAAATTATGGCATCCGGGGTGTCAGGGACCCCGATGCACCGCTGGCGCTCTTTACATACCGACCGTGTATCATCTTGGGGTGTCAAGGACCCCGAAGCACCTCTCCAGTGCCGTAACGAGTGTATGAAGCGCCTGTGGCAAGTGTCTAACTTGCGCCTCCCCGTAATCCAATAATGACAAAAAAATTACAAATTTTAATGTAACAAGCTAAATTTTACTAAATATACAGTTGCGCCCGTGGCAGGCGCCTTCTTCACCACGCCCTCGTTGCGGCACTGTTGTAATAATTAACCGAGGGATTTGACCTTACTTTACGTAAGCCTTTGATAGTCTTACGTAATTATCACGAATTACATTACGTCGAGTTGTATAGAACATATGTAGATACAGTACCGAGCATAGTTGACTTAACTAAATCAACTAAACCCCTTTTATTATTAATAGTTTTGAGAATGTTGATCCCTGAACACAAATTTGAAAAGAAAATTGCAAATCACAGCATGTAATAAAAATAATAATTAATTTGCTATTTTAAATTACTAATTTAATCATAATAGTATTCAGAATGTTTATTCTTGAATTATTCCACTAAATTAGATTCCATGTTTCTGCGTCAAAGGATTAATCATAAAAGGAATAATTTAATGACATTCTAAAACTGGATTGAAAATTACAATTTAATTAATTCACCACGATACTTCTTATTATGGATTTAATAATGTTGATGATAATAATAATATAATATACAATATAATATAATAATCATAGTAATTATAATAATAATAAATCGTCATTTAGAATTATTGTACATCGATATATTATTTAATATAATCTATTTCATATACTCTATATTAATATAGACTTCTATCTGATTCAATTAAATTCTTAAATCTTTATATCTTTTTTTTTTTCATTTGTTTTATCACCTGCCGAGTAAAATCCTGGCAACACGAGCGAGAAACACTTACATTAACAATGGGGAAAAGAAAATACACCACCACAGAGCGTCGTTACAATTTTCTTTCTTTTTTTTACAGATTATTCCGCCGTGCCCGAGAACGCTAAAGTATCGAACAAAATTTTCAGAAAAGAAAAAAAGGAAACAACTATACGTTGTTAAAACTACAATTCTCTGTAACAGCAATAACACAAGTAAAAAAGAAAGAAAAAGGAAGAGAAAAAAAATGGAGGAAAAAGTACATACGATGCAACAAGATAATAAAACATGGATTTTCTTATATTCTTTACGACACGGCGTTGTATCGTTAAACATTATGGAATTGACTTTGAACGTTCTTCCATTTTCGAACATTGTCGAGCCTTGAAATCACATATACGAGTTGCAATTAGAAAAAAATAAAAGAAAAACAAAAAGAATAAACGATGGTGCTAAAAAGGACTAGAGAACTATGTTAGAATTAATCAAAACGAAGACTAAAGGTTAAGCGATACCATGTGTAATAACGCGTTCTCGTTAAAAAGAAACGTTATATTTCCCTCTTACGATTTTTTGTACTTTTTTGATTAGGGTTCATTATTTGGCCGAGCTAGTTACCATTAAATCTTTGTCCATCTCGCGAATACGTCGTTTACTATAATAGGCGTAACTCTCTTTTCTTGGTGCTTAAACTGTACTACTACTTCTTGTTTCTTTGTTCTCTCGTATTCGCTTTCTTTTTTTTTTTTTATAAAAGTTCTATTTTACTCCTACGTTCGCAGCAGTGACTACACACCTTGTGTACGATTCATCCACTTGCACATTTTTGCTTCTCTTTATATATGTATATTTATATATATATATAATGCTTTCACTTTCTCGTCACGCGGAGTAAAGTACAATCGGTACTTTTTTAACATTAAACGTATATCGGAAGCGGTCACAGAAAGAAAGAAAAACACAAAGCTCCATCACCTGTCAGAGAAAAGTGTCGTTGTAATTCAGCTTTGTCTGGGTCTCATTTTTAACGCTAATTAATAGCAGCTTAACAAGTATTTGAAAAAAAAAAAAAAAAAAACGATTATAGAATCCTTCTTGACCCTTAATTACTTATCTTTATAAGAATCACATGATCTGTATCAGACAAAAAGTACCACTGACGCTCCTATTAATCTTCTTAGAATTTATACTTTTATCGAGCAAATAAATTTTCTCACATTTAACAAACGAGAATCCTTTTGTCCTTAATTTCTTCTATAATATAACACAGTATATTACATAAATCTTCGTGTAGCGTTTTGAAGAAACAAATTCGATTGCCAATGTTTTTTTCTTACACAGAATTTGTTTCATCGAATTTCATCTTTCTTTGTCACTATCTCTGTACATCGTTGAGGATTTGAAATCCCCCAGTGACAATGATTCATACCATATTTTCAACAATGTTTAATAACTTTCTCATTATAAACAAATTAAAAAATTAATTACATATTCTCTTGTGATATAATACAATTTTTTACAGAGCAAACGATTTAAAAGAGCGCTCTTGTTTGCCGTAACGAAATTCTATTCGTTAATATTGCTGATTTCATAGCCCCATGATTATACCCAATAAACGATAATAAATGAACATAGAAAATATTTATAAAAATTAATAAACATTCGATATAATTAATAGTACGAATCGAGAAGAGATTTTAAACGTTCAGTGGTTTCAATATTAATATACAAAAAATCGTGCAGAAATAATACATTGCCAATAGATGTATGTATCCTGATATCCGCACACTTCTCTTTTTTTCTGTTATTCTCAGAAAATTGTGGATCTTCGAGATCTTGTATTCCGAATGGTTTTAAGGAAATTATGGAGAAAAGTCTTCTCGGCTGAATTTAGTAACTTAATCAATTGCACCTCGTTATTCGTCTTCCGTATCACCGTCACTACTGTAATCTTGTAAAATAGCTGGTCTCAAAAAAGGTGCATTGTTGGTTTGACTGTAACCAGCATAGAACATTGAACCATACGCGTAACATTAAGGAAGTTGAATTAAAAAAAAAGAAATGATATCTTACTTACGCGAGTCTTCGATAATGATTTAACCATTCTTCCAACATTTGTGCTACCAATAAAGGTCTTTTATGTAATTTTTGTTGCGCAACAAGAATGCCACCTTCGGTTCTACACACGTCAAGCCATTCATTTAAAATAGATTCTTCCCGGCCCACTTCTTCCGGGCTCAAAAAATGTATTGGCAAAAGTTTATGTTCTCGGTCCATCAACGGCATAAATGTAGTCTGCATTTGTATTTGTAATTGTTGAAGTGGACTATTGCCACCACCTATGCCTACACCGCCGTGAGATGAAAGAGGCGGTATTCTGGACGATGCATAAGGTTCGATGGGAACTAAAGCTGTAAAGTGGCCACGAGTATAACCTAAAGCAATAGGCGATCGAATACAAAACGAAGGTTCCCATAAAAGTGGAAGATAAACACCTTCAAATCTTGCATAACCTGGATGAGAAATATTCTATTTAGTTACACGATAAATGAATAAAATAATTTTATGTTCTAAACAGGGAATACATACCTATATCTTCACCACGAAAACTTTTAACATATTTTACCCCATAAACAATAATAGGTCGTCTTAAAATGTGGGCAAGAGCAAATACGTGTAATTGTTCCAAAGCGCTCCCTGGCTGAGCAGCCGTTGCTAATAAGCTCTCCCAATCTTCTTGCCATTGAGTTTCTTCTAATGTAAAATCTAACATTCTAGCTGCTTGTGATGCTTCGTATTCTCTCCACCGAGAATAAAAACTGCAATAATGAAAGGTTGGTTAATAAAGAAACATATGAAAGAAATAAAAAAATGATTTAATTGTAAAGATTACTTACAATTGGCCAGCTTGTTGCAAAGAGTCAGCAAGAGCTCTTCTCAAAGCATTATCTCGATCGAAAACGCCCCAAGTAGCTTGCATTGCTGAATCTAATAAACAGTCTCCAGCAGATCTATTCCAAAGTGCGTGTAAACGACTTCCTAAACGTTCAGTAATTTCTAAAGACCAATTTAATGCTGGAGGTTCTCCGCCACCGCCTTCTAACTGCTGTTGAGCTTCTTTATCTAATAATTCTTCCAACATTTGCTCTTGTACTATGCTTGGTAAATCTTCAACCTAATAATTCATTTTGCAATTTTGTACATGAATGTGTTTATCTTACTTAAACTATATCTATTAAATGAGTATTTTATAACAAACCCTAACATCCCATAATACCCGAAAGAAAGAATTATAATGTTATAGTAACCTCAGCAGGCAAAGCAAATGTAGCTACATCAGTGACAAAATAACATGGGAAAGAACCCTTGCGCAACCGGATACTATTAGTAACATGTCTGCGTATCTGAGCAGCCAAATCAGGTGCAACGTAACTCGGTACTCTTTTTATTCCAGAACCAGAGCCTTCGATTTGTGATAATAATGTTGCTAGTATATCCTCCCTTTGAAATCTGTCAAAAGTATGACAAATTGAATAAGGAACAGTTCAAAGATATTATATCTCTCGGTAATAGTTCATTTATTATGGTAGATACGTATTGAACAAGTATGAAACATTGCCAAAAAATATATATATATATATATACATTTATACAATTATATAAAATCAGCTAAAATAGATTTAAAGAAATCCATTGTTAAAAATTACTTCTCACTGACCTAATAGCTAAATGTACTAATGTATGTCCAACATCAAAAGCGCTACTTCTATTTAGAAGCAGAACTTCTGAATGTGTCAATTGACGAGCAGGATCACCACCACTTGCCAAATAAGCTTCGACAGGTGCATTGTCACCTTCCACAATGCCAAGACACGCGTTTAACCAGCACCAATCAGTATGACGCCTTAACTGTTTTAGTCTACGCTCATAGTCACAATTATTTGGGGATTGAGGAGTTGATAAACTGTCATTTCTGCTATCGGGATATCTATTTGAACTCCTACAATATAAGAAAACTTATGATACATCCAAATAACAATTTATCGACTAATATTTAGATTATACCAAGCAACAAAATATATATTTACCTTCGTCCTACGGCAACATTATCGTCTCTTTGAGTCTGGTGAATATAAGGTGCATGAGGCGGGGAAGGTAAAGCGCGTTGACTATGATCTCTCTCTGGACTTGGCAAAATAACACCCACATTGTTTGAACTTTTATCTCTCCTATCTTTCTCCTTCGGATTACCGCACATCACACACTTTGTAGCTTTCGGCCAATTTTCATAAGTACACACAAGACAGGACCACTTTTCAGGATGTAAATTAGCTTGTAGATTATAGTATCTTTCTGGATGTAAGTTTATCGGAGTAGGATTAGATCCTGAATTTGGTGGCGGATCCCCTAGCCTTAGGGGAGCTAGATGTTCGTGTAAATTTGAGGCTATAGAGTTTATCGACTGATTAAGACCACTAGATTTTTTGTTTCCACACTGAACACAACGTGTGGCATTTTGATAGTTGAGATAGGTACACATCGCGCAAGACCACTTTCCCAATGGTACATTTTGACTATAGTTCTGAGAACCAAGATTATAAGAATCTGTTGGACTTAAATGAGTTACCGGACCAGACGCCACATTCGATCCAGACCTCTGCGGACTTGGATCTCTTAAACGGAAAATATCTTCCCCTAATAAAGGTTTGGCACCTCTGCACATCGTGCATTTCAATGATGAAGGCCAATTTTCGTATGTACAATATTCACAAGTCCATTTTGATTCTTCTTCTTCAAGCCTGTTACTCATTTTCTTTATATGGCCCTTTATCTTGTAAATTCTATCGTCTCTAATGCATAGACAATTGTAACGTTGATATCGTGTTTAAATATGTTTTCAATGCATAAACTTGGCGTCAGAAATTATATTAAACATCTGATTAATTGATATTGCATGTATTAGCAAAATTTTGCATATTTTTTTATCATACAATATGGAGGAAAAGTAATTTCCATAGATATCAATGATATTATACGCTTGTCATTTAATAAGGTTTTCATGTCATGTATTAAACATGTTAATCGAATATAAAAAAATAAAAGCTGTCACAAGAATGCGAATGTAGACAGCTACCAAAATCTGGAAAGAAAAAAAGAAAATGTGTAACTGATATGCTTAAAATACGGCTAATATGTAATATAAATAAATATATATATCCTTAATCAAAAGTAAATAATAATCAACTTTATTAATTCATATAATAATTTAGTAGCCTTAACAAAGGATTTACATATGCAAAATAATATATAAAGTAAAGAAAAATAAACTCGTTGAAAGTGGCAATTTATTTACATAAAATAGATTCGAATCACATACAAATAACATACATGTAAAAATCATGACAGGGCGAACGGACGTTTTCGAAGAAGCCTGATATTGAATTCCTCGACAAGATTAAGCGTTTGAAAAGCAAAACGCGGTAAACTCTAATTGGAAGTTTTAAAATGTGACTGACCTCTGGTGCTTTTATGTCGTATAAGCGTCGCGTCAAGAAGAAATGTAGGTAGAATTTACGGGTAGAAAAGCTTATACACGTGGTAGATCGAAATTGGGGCTACCTGGCAAAAGTCGAGCCTGGTGTCCCGAAAGTTGCTGTCACGCGCGAATAAACTCCATCGAAGAAGTACTATGCGTATCGGTCGACCGCTGAGAAAGTGAGTTGAAGACAGACGTGGATCAGAGGTATCACGCACTACGGCACTACAGCAGCCCACTTTAATCGCATTCAACAAGAGAAAAGGTTAAAAACACAAACGCATAATAGATTTTTTCGCGAAGACGAAAGCACGCGCCTTCAATCCTCGCGTTGGAATCGGAGTAATCTTCTTCCCCACCGAGGAAGACCCGAGGCACGTCACTCGTCGAACGGGTGAAACGCAACGAGCGAAACGAAACAAGAAACCTTTCTCTACACACTCACTCACTCCTTAAAAACAAACACGCTATCTTCTTTCTGGCTGCACTTAGCGCCTTCTTCCTTTCTACGAATCAAAGGCAGTCATGATGTTTTCCTTCGTACTTGCATGCAAAGCTGCGAACTTCGCTAAGAAAATAGGTTTTGACAATCATCCGCAAACAGATGTCAGTGTTACCAACGTCATTTCATCTGTAAAAAGTCGCCATTTCGTGTAGTTAGGTGACGCGATCCTCTGACGCGCTCCATAACTACAATTAGCTTATCTCCATTCAATTAACATCTTCTTAATAATAATTACAATGTTCATACTAACGATTTTCTCATCCCAACGATGAAAATTGATGAATAATCGCGAACGTTTCGTGTATGGTTACACTGACCGTATCATATCCGCTTCCGGTTTTTAAGATGCACTGTGAACTTCTCTTTCTTTTGCCCTTGACACTTTAATACTAATTGCGAGCTATTTAACTACTTCTGATGTTCGAAAACAATAAATTGATCAGAGATTGAATCTCGTTGAAGATGATGCTCTATCCACGTGATTAAAATATATAAAATATTCACATTTCCTCTGTTTGTTCAAAGAACGTACATGGGAAACTATTTTTTATTTATAAATATCTTGGGCCAAGTGCCAAATGGGACCTAGCCTAGACATCTATCCTTGACATTTAATTGAGTAAGACTCACCCTGTACAAAATGCGATACGGAAAAAAAGAATTTTTACTTGTAAAATTTACCTACTCTACTGATAATAAAAATATGATGTTTTTTTCCAGATATCGTCTGCTATGTAACCAATGACGTCACAGTGAATCAGCTGGAAGTTACTAACGTAGCGGTATATTGAAATACCTAACAATTTTTTTCCTACGAAATTTTCAATTCAAATTCCGGTATAATTAATAACGTCAGAATGAATGTTACAATACTGTATGGTAGTGAAACAGGGACTGCTCAGGATGTAGCTGAGCAAATTTGGAAAAATGTCAAAAGGTTTTGTTGTTGTTTATAGATCATACTACTGTTCAGAAATTCTAAATAATTAAGCACTGTACTGAAATTTTTTATCATCTGCAATATAATTAAGTACACTTACATCAATGTTATTTCATAAGCGATTCCGTTTTTATTTCAGAAAAGGATTGAAAAGTACTATTTGCGCAATGAATGAGTACGACATTCAGAATCTTAATTCAGAAAAGATGATGATTTTTGTGGTTGCCACGACAGGCCAAGGGGACCCTCCTGAAAACATGAAAGGGTTTTGGAGATTTTTATTAAGGAAAAATTTGCCACCGACGTTGCTTAATAATGTGAAATACGGAATATTAGGTTTAGGTGATAGTTCGTACAAAAAATTTAACTTTGCAGCAAAGAAATTGAATAAAAGATTGATACAATTAGGTGCGACAGAATTGTTATCTGTTGGATTAGCAGATGACCAACACGATTTAGGAATAGATGCTGTTGTTGATCCTTGGGAACAAGAATTATGGACAAAGGTTGCAGAAACGTTTAATATTTCTGTGACAGATTTTATGGATGATCAAAATACAATAATCGAAAGATTTGATGTTTCTGAAATATGTATAAATCCAATAAGTCATGAGTATCATTCAGACAGTGATATTTACATGAAAGAAGTACTCACAAATAATGAGATGAGAGTGGGTACAGTAATTGAGAATATAAGAACAACTTCAGAAGATCATTTTCAAGATGTCAGGTTAATTAGACTTAAATCAGATGGTATTAATTATCAACCAGGAGATGTATTGTACGTCAGACCTAAAAATTCTAAAAAGCAAGTTGAAAGGTTCTTTAGTATATTAAATGATAATAATGTACAAGTGCATCCAGATATGATAGTTCAAATATCTGAGAAAGAAATTAAGATACCTACTGTTCTAAATCAAACCCTGAGATTAAGTCAAATTGTAGAACAATATTGGGACTTGAGTTTTAAACCAAGAAGATCTACGATGCAAGTATTATCTCTTATTAGTGAAAATGAATTAGAAAAGGAAAAGTTGCATGAATTTACAACCGCGGATGGCCAAGAAGAACTATATAGTTACATTAATAGACCAAGAAGAAATATTTTAGAATTATTAGCAGACTTTTCTTGTACAACTAGTAAATTAAATCTGAAACTATTGTTTGAGATTATGTCTCCCATAAAACCTCGTGCTTTTAGTATAGCATCAAGTTTAAGGGTCACTGAAAATGAGATTCATCTTTTAGTGGCTGTAGTAAAGTACAAAACAAAATTGCTAGAACCAAGATATGGATTGTGCTCCAATTGGTTAGCAAATTTAACGCCTGGAGATGAAATAATATTTTGGATAAGAAAAGGAACTTTTAAGTTTGCATACAATAAACCAATGATATTCATTGGTCCTGGCACAGGAGTTGCACCATTTCGGTCGGCTTTATTAGATAAATCAACGATGGATGAGGATTTAAGTAATTGCATCCTCTTCTTTGGTTGTAGAAACAAAGAGAAAGATTATCATTGTAAAAATGATTTTGAGTATTTATCGGACAAAAGACATTTACAATTGTTCTGTGCATTTTCTAGAGATCAAGAACATAAAATGTAGGCTGATACATATTAATAAGATCTTACAATTTATATCTCATTAATATATACATATATACACTGTCTTATAATTAACTGTTGAATATGTATTTCAGATATGTGCAGCATCTTATACATGAACAAAAACAGCTATGCTGGGAATTTCTTAGCAAAGGTGGTAATATTTATCTAGCAGGTAATTCTAAAAATATGCCAAATTGTGTTCGCGAAGAATTTGTAAATTTAGTAAAAGAATTTGCCAATTTAAATGAAGAAGAAGCAGAGTATTTTATTAAGCAGTTAGAAAATGAAAACCACTATCAAGTTGAAACGTGGGGTTAATAAAAAATGTAAAATATGTTGACTGCCAGGTTATAAAACATACGTGCATGTAAAAAATATGTTAATAATATTTTTAAAAGTTACAATGATGTAACCTCGTGCTTATGATTGTAAATTATTGTACAAAAACTATAGTATCTATGTTTATTTTTACTCATACGAATACTACAAAATTAGAAATGAAATGATGTAATTATTTTTTATATCTCGCGTCCATTATATTCATTATGCAAAACTGTTCTAATTGTTTCATTTGAATATCATAAATATGCGCGCGTGTCGTAACACCTCGGACTAGTTCGTGAATCTTCGCACAGCGTGGAGTTAAGTTGACGAACTCTAACCCTGCTTATCTTAACTCGCAAAAATAAAGCAGAAACATGGTACGTTTTGCATGTCGGGGAACAGTTCTATTCATAACTCTAGCACCTTAACTACTGTATCATGCAGTGATACTAAATATATTATCAAGTATTTCTTTCCGAGAAGAAACCAAAGAATAGCTGGGAAGATTCTACAAATGTCGTTTAAATAACTCTCACGCTCGAATCTCTTAGTAATTTGAATTCTCAACGACGTCCGTCCAACTGATAAAACAAAAACGGCATTCGGATAAAGCAACTATCAAGTTCGCCTTCGTTAGAACGACACGTGAAATGCATTAACCTCTAACATTACATAGCCTTTAATTTGATTTAAGTTTAAAACTCGGTAGAAAAATGGCGGGCAGTTACACAAAGAAGGAATTTGGTGTGGGCCCCGAGGAACAGACCTTACTGAAAGATTCAAATGGAACACGTATCGTTCCCGCAAAAGGTATATAATATTTCACTATTACTTTTTTTTTCTTAACATTTTCGAATCTTTATCATTTCAGTTTTACCACTATAATTTAAATGCTAAGAGTTCTATCCTTCTTGGAAGTACTCTTTTTTTTTTTTTTTCATTTTTCCTACAAATACCCGACCAAACCGGTCCTTTGATTATGAAGAGTCACAGAGTGTGCTTTGAGTATTACTTTCCAACCATTTGAACTACAACATTCATTTATGTTTTGCCTAATTATATTTTTATGAAAGAATAGTGTTCGTTTAACATTTATTATGAAATGTTAAGTATTACTTTCATATGTAAATTATAATGTCAATTATCTTTAAATTGTTACAAAATGTAGTTTCCAAAATACAGTTTTAGTATTTCATAATTGAAAGTTTCAATTTGTAAAAACAGTTAGTATAATCTTTTAACAGCGTATCACATTGTAAGATTTTATATGTAGATAGCTTTATCTATGTATACACGTGTTTATCTTTTGATTTACATGTTCCATTAATTAATGAAATTTCAAAACATGATAAGGATAAAAAAAGTGAATAAAACATGTTTTGTTACTTTTCGTATGCCTAATAAATAAATAGTTTGTACGTAGATATTGAATAAATAAAGATGATTAATTCAAATGAAAATGTATATCACAAATAGCTGAATGAAATATTTTTTATTTACCAAATATTTTGTAATATTTTTTCTAAAATTAATCATTTATACTGCTGGAACTTTGGTATATGTATTTGTTACTTTACATTATTACAAATATTTATATTTTTTACTTTCACCATCATTATCATACTCTACTAACTAAAATAATGAGTTTAAGAATTTAAGTTTGTAACATAATGTATTCAATTTTATAATTTAATTACGATTAGTATCATTTTATTGTACTACATGCTTGCAGCATAATGTTGTGTGTGTTATAGAGGAATATAATTAAGGCCAAAATGGAATATAAATAAGATAAATGAATATCTCTTCCACAGATTGCATTGAAACTTCTTATAATACTTTTAAAGTTCACATTCAAACTGGTAATTAATGATTATTTTTATTTTGTTTTTAACATATAGACATAATACACGTGTCATTATAATCAATATTATCGTTTCTTATTTGTCTCCTATAAATTTAAGATATAAATATAGAATCGTATATATAGCAAATGCATGTACCTTGTTCACTAAATTAATAAATTGCTTCAAATTGAAAGATTATTAAAGTGTTGTTGGGGTGGCTGTTATTGCTATAGCATTAAATGAATCTGTGCATGACACACTTCATATTGAAGAACTGAATCTTTCGTTGTAGGTACTGAACCTGTTCGTCTGTCTCCTGGTTGGGAAGGAACAGGTAGACCTGACGATGAATTGAATTTTAAAGGTGTTACAATGGATCAGGCAGATCTTGAATTGAATCCTCCTAGAGATAGGTAAGTACAATTTGCATAGTTTTATATTATTTATTAAAAAGAAATTAAACTGTATTTAGTAAAATATGTATTTATTTTAGATTAAACATAGTATTCTGCATAATGGTACTTCATGGAATTGGAATTTTGATGCCATGGAATATGTTCATAACTGCAAAAGATGTACGACCCTTCAAAATGTTTTTCCTGCATAGTATAAAATACTTTAGGATTAATATATTAACTTTTCTTTTTCAGTATTTTGTTAATTATAAATTATCCAAGGATTATACAGGGATTAAATCAAACTATGGTTCAAATTTTCTTCCATACTTAGAATTTGCATCACAAGTACCAAATCTACTGTTTAATTGGTTAAATATATTTATACAACTCGGGTATGTATATTTCTGATACATTTCATTTAGTACTTTATAGGATACCATTTATCTATTAATATAATCTAAAAAATGTTGCTTTTAATGTATTCTTATTGTTATATTGATTGTTATTTTATGATAACCTTTTAGTGGCAATTTGACAACACGTATAGTATGGGGTATCTTCATACAGGTTTTAATATTTGTATGTACAGTTATTTTGGCAATGACTGATAGCTCTGGTTGGCCAGGTGTTTTTTTCTGGATCACCATATTTTCTGTTATTATATTGAACAGTAAGATAAAACTATATTTTCTGTGAATTTTTTGAATTTGTTAATGATATAATACTTTAGGTAATTTATAATTGTAAGAATTTGATCAATCTTAAAGTATCATACATTTTCTACATACATTTTTGTATAAATAACTATATGAACAATACCTGGTCTGAATTATGGAATTTTTTTTAGTTGCTAATGGAATTTACCAAAACTCTGTGTTTGGTATGGTCGCAAAGTTACCTGGAAAGTATACAGGAGCTGTAATCTTAGGAACGGTAAACACTAACTCGTATACTTGTGTGATAAAAATATTATGTAACATGTACATCTACAAGATATGATATTTTCTTGATCCTTTCAGAATTTAAGTGGAACAGTTACAGCCATCATTAATTTCCTTGCTCAATATATGGCACCAAATACGCGGACCGCTGCAATATATTACTTTATAACAGCTCTGTTTGTTCTTCTTGCATGTTTTGATACTTACTTTGCTCTACCCATAAATGTGAGCTTCATAATCTTTCGTAAGTTTAATTTTTCCATTAATTGATACTGTGTATTAATTATGATTGTTTGTAGAGATTTTATCGATATCGGGAATTATTACATCAAAAAGGAGTAAATAAAAGACAACTGGAAAATAGTGCAAGAGGCAAAACTAACAGGCCGCCGTATTGGAAAATATTTAAACAATGTTTTCTTCAATGTTTTAACACATTTTTTGTATTTTTTGTAACTCTTTCTTTGTTTCCGACTGTTCAATCTGATATAAAACGCTCGGATCTTAATTTCGTAGTTCCGACAGAGTATTACAGTAGTGTTATGTGTTTTCTCACATTTAATATTACTGCTTTAATTGGTAGTTCTATCGCATCGTTAGTTCAGTGGGTGAGTATTGTTTAATTCATAAGTTTGTGAAATATTAAACATAGAAATTAAGTTTTTAATTTTTCTTCATATAGCCTAGTGAAAAGTATTTGGTGATCCCAGTCGTTTTGCGTGTTTTGTACATACCGTTGTTTTTATTATGCAATTATCAACCAAGTTCTGATATTGCAAGAGCGTTACCAGTGTATATTAATAACGACTGGGTTTATTTTGTAATCGCTGTTACCATGGGTGTAAGCAGTGGTTATTTTTCATCGTTATCCATGATGTACTGTCCTAGGTGAGACTCTATTAGTAATAAGAAGAAAAATATTTTATTTTCAATGCTAAATAATATCGTTCATTGTATTTTCTAATTTCAGGATGGTAGACTCTCAACATAGTGCAACAGCTGGTATGTTTGGCGCAGCGTCATTAGTTTCAGGAATCTGTGCTGGAATATTGTTTTCTATGATCATGCCCAGCTTAGTACAAAATTTATCATTTGAATTATCTTAATGTGCATAACATTGAATAATAAGGTACTAATGCATATTTAATAACGTTTACTAACTAGAAGAATCAAAAAAAGAGGAGCACACAAAAAATTACGAAATTGGAAGTCACAAAGTATATCATTTAAAAATTAGACCTTATAACGAATGAATTAAATAGATTTCACAACGCGTAAATGGACAAAACTGAAGATAAACATTATTTAAGTACATAATAATTTCATTGAATGAAATATTATAATTGATTAATTTCGAATTAAAATATAGCAAAGATCTTCATTTTATTATTAAAAAAAAAAAAAGTATGATACGAAGGTTGAAGAACATCTGTAAAAATTGTCGAATTTGTATTAATGAAAACAATTTAATAATTCATAATAAGCTGTTAAAAGTTTGAAGCAAGAATAGAAATTTATTACCGTTTCAAATTCATATTAATAATACCAATATTTAATCACTGCCCCAAACTATTGCTATTAAATTGGACCAATAAGCCTTAATAATCACATATTGCTAGGTTTTTCACATGCATAACTTCGTTCAAAGCCGCTAAAATAAGCACACGAAAAGATTTGTACGTTTAATAATTGTTACTTACATAGACCAAATTTAAAGTAAGACTGGTTAATATTTGTTAATATTTCAGACTAACAACTTAACAAAGTCAAAACTGAACTGTACACAGTTTGTATGGCTAATGTTTTAAATCACTCATTTTTGTTGAATGCTTAGTAACCATAGTGAGTAACTTATAGCATCTAACTGTTTTCATTATTCTCAGAAAACAGATGCATTTAGAAAAGCATATTAGAACACGTTATACTCAAATACGTACAGGTTTTACACCGACCAATTAATGTTTGACGATGCGTGGTGTATTGTTTTATTATATTTCTCATACGGTTGTATTCTTTTATTAAGTATTTTTACAAATGTTATTATTCAATATAAATTTTGTGTTTTACATATTTTGACATATTAGTTCTATATTATTTTTTTTTTTAATAGTATTTACAATTAACGCTCACAATTATACAAAATATTAGATAATTAATACTTTTTTTAAGTAACAATTTTATGAGGCATAAATTGATCTGATTAGCACTAGGCTAAATGTAGATCAAGACAATAAAATTTTTGTTTCATTTATAAGAGATGTTATCTTGCATTTGTTGCATTTAAAAACATTTTTTATATTTAGCGTTATACGTTTAGTATTTACTTTAATTTTGAAATTACTTTGCTATGCATTAAAAAGAAACTAAAGCAGTGTATATAGCTAAACGCTATAATACTATAACACTGTATAATAAGAAGCTCAATAAGACTACTCTATTCAGATATTTTCTGTATATTTATGAATATTATATATGTTTACGTATATATTCTCAAAGTTTGTTCAAAATTTCTAAAATACGACGTATTTTACAGTCAGTAAAAAAATTATTTTTATTTCAGGTATGTTGTAAATGATGTATACTATTTTAGTATTTTATTTATATGTTACCGATTACTACGAATTCCAAGTTACACAATAACAAATGTTCAGATTAACTGAAACATAAGTATTCTTAATAAATTTTAATATATGTACTGTCATATATACATATATACATATATTATACACATGTTTGTCAGTTTCAGTATAGAAAAACAAACTGGAAAAAGTATGCATCATTAAATATGAATTTTTCTTTTGATAAAATTAGTAATTTTGTAAATACCGTCTAAGTGCTTCCACATGTTCTAACATGTGATGAGTACAAAATTTGCAGTTTTATTATATACAGTATACATTAACTTGTAATATCTACTATTTATAATACTGTTTGTTGTCTTTTTTCATCAAATCATACCTAATTATACTAAAACTCTTACATACTTTCAAGTTATGCTCAGCTAAATCGATTATCGTATAGCCATATATTGATAAACTTAAACAAATTTTTGCTGATATAAAAATACCTTAAATTACCTCAATTGTTGTACCCCCAAGTTGACCACAAATTTTATTCTAAAACATAGAATCCGAATTCCTAGAAGGACAATCCTCCACATAAAGTAATCCAGACAATAAATTATAAATGAAATTCAATGAAATCAATGAATAAACGTCATTGAACTTAAAGCTGATAGAGCATAGAAAGAATATTTTTATATTGATTCACTTGTGGACATGTTTCATCTAAAATTGCTTAATGCATATCATTATATAGATTAGGATTATTTCAGTAAAATTCGTACACTGAAATTATTAACTTAAAACAAATAAAAATGGTGGTACATCTGTTTTTTACATGAAAATAGTATCGCGCGATACAACTACTACAGCAATCATATTACACTAATGTTACAAAGTTTACCACTACTATGTTCAGATGTTTGGGCATGCAAAGTATAAATATAAATGACTGTAATATACTTACAAAGCTCATGGTTACAAATGCGTCTTAAAACGTAGATTTATGGAATTGTTTTAATAGTTCAATTTATTGTAGAAAAGATGTTAAATAAATGAATAAGGACAATTTTCATATCATATTTAATAATTAACCGTATTGGTATAATGATTTTTATATCATTTTTATATCGAAAAACTAAAACGTTTTCCATAACATACACATAAATCTGTTTGTATCACATTTTATTCTAGTAAGTGATCACAAATAAAATTTGCAAAAAATACTTCCTTAAAAATAGATGTTATTTCTTTTGTTAATATCGGTATACAATATTAAACAGTAAATATTCCGAGTTAGATTACGAGAAAGATGCACTATACACAGTAGAAATTGTGCCTGAGTCAGCAAATTTTACATAACATACACTTTTTCTATTTTTTTATATGGAAATACTTCTTTGGTTTTCGGACAAACTACAGTACCATTATTTTCCTGAGCCATTTTTTCCAGTGCCTAGAATAACATAGAGTATATTAATTTAATACATATATTTATATAATTTTATATATTATAAATACAAAGAATTTTTACTCACTTGTTCTCCATATACGTATCCATTTGGCATCATCATTGGTTGATTATATTCATTTAATGGTTTTCCACTAATACTACAAACAAGTCTAGACTGTGAACAATGAGCAAAAGGCAATGGAACAGCCAGTTCATTAAGAGCCTCGTTACACACTGGACAGTTTGGATTTCTGCCTTCTTTGTTTGCACTATAACACTGTGGTGTTTTTAATGCTGATAAACCTGCTTGTAGCGCTACCGTGAAAACACTTTGACTAGCCAATTGGAAAAGTCTATAATTTTCATGTCTAAATTGCTCGATTAATCTATCCCACCTGTAAAAGTTACATAACACAAAGATAGTAACCATTCTGTTTGGAAGAAATTTATGTAAAAATAATTTAACAAGAAATACAAGTACCTCTTTTCATCTAATAAATCTTTATATGGACTGAGTGATGTATTAGCTGGAAATGCTAGCTGCCCCATACAGCACTGAATTTCTTGTAACTGGTAATCATCATAATTTGTAAAACATCTTCTGGCATGCTTAACAGCGTCAAGCCTTCTATCCTGTCTGACTAATTCTACAAATTCTTGTACACGTAAATTAAATTCCATAGTACTTCCTAATTTTCTTAACTTAGATCGATTGTCATAGCACCATCCAACGCATCTTGCAGTTTCATGATTTGCTAAAGATGTTTCAACTTCTCTTGATACCATAAAAACATCTAGATACATAGAGAAATTAATGAGATTATTTATACAACGTATCGATTAATGTCAATAGCTAACATACCTATATTTGTTAAATCTCTAAGTTCGCTACTGTCTGCTAATTTGGTTGCAGTTTTGTAATAGCCTTTACGAAGGAAATATTCTATTAACATTCTATCGAGTCTCTGTCGCCGCCATTGATTTACAACACTTGGCGCAGTATTAGCATGTTCCTTTAAATGTTCTAGCCGTCTTTTGCAAACCATTCCTGCTTGCAACTCTTCTGCGATGGATTCTTGCGCCTTTCTTTTTAAAGTTTGAAGCTTCTCTACAACGCCTCCCAATAATATGCTCATTTCCCCGGCAGGAACAGAAGTTTTATTATCCTTCATTAATTCATTAGCTGCCGCTTGTACATACGAAGCTTCTCTGTCAATTACTTTTTGAGCTAAACGAAACTTTTTATTCAAGAGTTCATAAGGAACCTGAAAATCAAATATTTTATGAATTAATTTCTATTCAGTTTCCTAAATTGTGTAAATAAATCATTTCACATTAAGAAATAATGAACCGAAAATTGTAAAATTAAAATATACTTGTGAGTACAGAAAATAATGATGGAAAAAATTTGTAAATAATTAAATTAAATGGAAATTAAATACAACAAACAAATGGTAAATACCTTTAATGTAGGGTATTCGAGACTTTTAACGTCTGACATATTGGTTATGCTCAAACTACGCATAAAATTATATTTGAAAATCTGAGGAAAATTATGTTTATTGTATCGTAGCTAATATTCTTTGAAATTATGTATCATAGTCGTCCATCTCCTATCATCCAAATATCAGTATGTTTATACACAATGATAGTAAATAGAACAACTTTGACACGCGACTGTCTTCAAGAATCATGAAAACTCTTGTACTATTTTAACAAAGATAATTATCATTTTGTTTACGCATGATGAAAATGTTAGTGTAATAGTAAAACTGTAGATGGCTCTATTAACTATAAAAACAAGGGATGATCCTCAATCTGAATCATGTGACTGAACAATTCGTCATCAATTAAAAAATTGACTACCGATTATACTGGAATACAGTTTATTTTACAATTTCTCATAGTAATAAAAAAATGAAGTGTATGTAACGTCAATATACCTATACTATTCATTTTAATAATAATAATTTAAGTGTTGCATCTTATTTTGGCCAATGATCACTGACGTTTTTGATTGGTTATTGAACGGATTAATTTTGGGCTTCGACCAATCATGGAATTTGAGTATCTAACCCGAGTGTAACATAATTGAATAGAAAATACTAATAATGTCAGCGTGGTTTAATGTTTTGGAAGTGAAATGTGTACACTTGCCTTAGAAATATCAATGGAAACTCTCATAAAGGTAGATTTCTGAATAAATTTTCATTACAATTTTGTATTTTAGTGAAATAATGTAAACTCTTAGCAATCACACGTGCATACCTGATAAAAAAAGTTTTATTCCGGTAATTTGTTAATATTTACATGTTACTTCTATACTTTTAGATTTAGATTATAATTTAAATATAAAATTGTTATATGTTCATTTTGGTATAAAAATGTTTGAAGTTATTTTAAATATTGAATACTTCAAACGTACGTCAGGAAGAAGTTGTTAATCTTCTGAGAAAATTTATTACATTTATAGATATATAAATAACATGTTTGAATTGCTATTAGGTACAAAAAAAATAAAAATTTTCCAAGAACAAACTGTAATAGTTTGTTTTTCGAAATTGTTGCAAAAATTCGGCCGATGTTTAACCGTTCGGCAGAAGCAAATCGGAGGTAATCGGTTACTTTCGGTCATGTTCGGCCGGTGACGGAGAGTATCGGTGGCGCGCGCGAGTCACTCGGATGGCCGGGGGCCGCCATTTTCCTCCAGCGAGGGAGACAGTCGCGAACGTAGTTCCGCGCATTGTCGACCAATTTTTTCGTCGAATCGAGGGATTTTCGTGAATAACTGGGGCGTCGGGCGGGCGCGCGTGACCCCAGTGCCCGTATCCGAGCGAGTATCGTTCCACGGGAGGCTCGAAGTCACCCGTGGACGCCGCGAGAGCCGTGTGAATCGGAATACAGAGTCAAGGCGCCGCGCGTATACCCCTGAAACCGAGACACATCGTAAGAACGCCGTGTGAGAGAGTGATTAGTTTGGTGATCGCAGTGTACCCGGTGAAAATACACGAGTACCCAGAAGTACTGTGAACCGAAGGAATACAGGGAGAATCGCCTCCGACAGGTTAGTGAGTGTTTTTCTCACGTAGATCGCGCCGCCGAGAGAGCTCAGTGTACGCCGTGTGCGTCGCTCGCGCGGCCCCTGGTGTGCACGGTGCATGCGTGCACACACGCATCGGAGAAAATTCCGCGGGTTCGTGCGTGCGTATGTGTATGTGTATTCGTATGCGTTTCTATCCATCCGTCCGTGCGCGCGACCAATACGATGCATACACACGTAGTTCATCGTTTAACCGTTCTACGTCCTTCTGTGTGTGTACGAGTGTATGACACTTAGTGTGCGAGTATACCGACTTAGTGTGATATGGCGGGAGACGCCGCGTTAGTACCGAACCACGCGCCTTTCTTTTTATTCGCTCCTCCGCTCAGCAGTGGCCTGATTACTCTTTTCTTATTCCTATGCATTCTTCGAGTTTCCGCAAACTTTCATGAAATTTTCATTTATCCTCCATGAAAGTTTATATCAATCGGAGTAGTCGGTTTCTTTTTCCAGTGTAAACTGTAAACGTATCTTGACGTTGACCTTCGGCGACGTCTTCCAACCTTTCCGATGAAACATTACATGCTTCGTGCTTCTCGTATTTCCCACTCTGTGTACATCTATGTGAATCAGTGTCTAGGACTTGTTAAATATTATTTACAATATGTTAATTTTTCAATAGTATACAAATGAATAATTTATTTGTTTTATTACACAGAAAGACTGTAACAACAGTGCGTATCCATAAGACTATCTTGGTGGTACATAAATTGTTCGTGTGAAATAGATTTACAATAATTTTCGTTCAAAATTATTTCTAACTGAAATACACGTGCGACTAAATGAATTTTCTGACGTATCGCGAGAGTATGAAAATTGTTATGAAATATTGCTAGATGGCAGCACTGGTCGGCACGATTTGAAATTTTTGTTTATAAAAAGAAACGCTTGCACAATTTTCAGTTGTACCGTTCACTGTGTACGGTTCGGAACGGATCACGACGGGCACAGATCAAGCCCAACATTTTTCTAATTTAAAAGGAATCATGTTGGTGAAAATGGTTGATTTAACGTACGAAGGACATGTCAGTGGATTAAAGTACCCCTGGTACAGTATAGTCCGATGTAAATCATTTATTCTGCTAAGTGTACGTGTCATGCGGTTGACCGCCATTTGGATAGACGCTTCTAGAATATCATTCATTTGTATCTCTCTTTCTCTTTTTATCTCACAATGTACACACACCGTATTAACGTACGATTCCTTTCTCACGCGAGACTCCTACACACGCTACTACTACAGGATTTTCTTTGACCGACAACGTAATTCAGAAACGATTTTACACTCGTCTTAAATTATCACACCACGTACGTACTATAAATTAGCCCTTGAACAGCGTAGCCTGAGTCAATCGTGACCCAAACTTACAAAACGCATGCAATGATATTAACCTAAAGTTAATATTAAAAACAGAATTTGTAAACAGACCGTGTGAAATTGCATTAAAATTAGGACTCTCTCCACGGTCCGCCGTCTGAGGGTTAATGTCTGAGTTTCACTATAATGACATTCGCAAATAATTTTTAGAACAATGTAAAATAGAAAATTAAATTTAAATTGGGCCTTACTCCATGGCTCGCCATCCAAGGGTTTAACAACATTCGTTAATAATTTTTAGAACAATGCAAAATTTAGAAAATGAAAATAGAAAATTAAATTAAAATTGGGCCTTACACCATGGTCCGCTGTCTGAGGATTAATGTCCGAGTTTCACTATAACCACATTCGCCAATAATTTTTAGAACAATGTAAAATTTAGAAAATGAAAATAATATGAAACAGAAAATTAAATTAAAATTGGGCCTTACTCCATGGTCCGCCGTCTGCGGGTGAACATTCTCCAAGAGTTCCAACGAACTTGGACTTAAACGATTACCATCCTTACCGATACAACAAACGCATAGAGGTTCTCAACTTTCTTTCCAGGTGTTGGGGGAATCTTGTATGTATTTTCATACAGCCCGCATCCTTTAATTTGATATATCACCAGTATGGCTCTCGTACATCGTTTCCGATGGGTTTAAGCCTCTCCCGTGATTAAATAAAACAAATCAGTAAATAACATTGATATTAATAATTAAAGTACCACTTTTTATATTCATCAGTGCGTACACGTAGGAAAATAATAAAGTAAAGAAACGAATGTTTTTGTATTAAAAATTTGTCGAATTTCGTAGCTCCATTTTTTCGACGAGTTCGACGTTCTTACTGCACTTGATTAACAAGCTTCCGTTCAAAGCGATAAAGCATGCTAACGACCTACTAATCTGAAATGTAGGGTTCGAACGGCCACGAGATATTAAAAGCGCGACACTAACTCTTCTATACCGATTTCTAGCGGAAAAATGTTGTTCCCCTTAATTCGGAATGATTTTTCGCATTGTCGAGGAGGAACTTTTGGAAGTTCGATTCAGAGGTCACGGTGGTGTCTGTTAAAGAAGATTGGCGCCAAGTAAAATGTCGTATTGCGTAACTTTTTCCCCGAATCTAACGGGAATATGGGGCGAACGTCGCGGAAAGTACAGTGTTTCCCTTATTTCGTTCGACCGGTCTGTACGCGTCGCATTGCACGTTAACTTATTCATCGTTGATTGTGTGTCGGTATTTAAACGAGCTCCTGTTCTGGCCTTACGTAATTTGCTGAACGCGGAGAGGCAGCGGTATAACGCTCGGTTGCTTATTCAGCGATGTTGTGACCTGTATTCACGTCGCGACACTTCTGTTTCTTTTTACTAGAAACCCACTCACGGGTGGCTCGTGTGTGTACGCGCAGCGTCGCCCGTACATTTACGTTTTCCTCGTTGGCGCCGCGTAAATTCATCTCCCGTAGTAGTCGTCCGGAGAAAGGAAACGGGAAGGCGTTATCCTTCGAGAAAGTTAAGTCGTTCTCGGTTTGACGAAGCAGCTCGAACTCCACTGTTATAAGTTATTTTCGAATGACAAATAAAAAGATTAGATTAGTTTTCCCATTAACAAAATAGAAGTTTTGTTCAGGGATACAAACGTCGGTTTGTAATTGTTTAGGATATTTTTATCATTGACCTTAGGTATATTGGACGTGGTTACCTCTCGAATGGATCACTGTCCTGTTGGTACAGTATCGAGCATGGTAGTACTCCCTAGGGAAAAAGGAAACTCCCTATGCTGCTTGAAAGTTATCACAGATTATACTTAGTTTGCACACGATTAATTTAGAAAAAATTAATAGATGTATCATAGAAAATATAATTCACTGCGTTTCTTGCATAATAAACTATATTTTTAAAGGGATAGTGTAAAACTTAGAAAATAGAATTAGGGCTTTCTACATGGTCCGCCATCTTCAGGCTCTCTCCATGGTCCGCCGTCCCAAACTTAAAAAACGCACTATATATTTCTTACTTTTTTAAGAAAAGAATTAACTATATTTTTTTATATGTAACTATGATGAAACCTTTTTCCCCCACAACGCCATTTTCCCTAGGGAAGCCTCCGTGCCCAATGCTGTACGTACAAAGTATTTCTAATCAAGGATTTCTTATATCTACAAATTGGGCGCTATAATTTAGCAGAATTATTATCTTTAGGATTTCCTATTCTAAGTTTGGACTAAATCAGTATTCCGAAAGCAGTCTATTTCCTCGATCGTCGGTTCATCGTACGGTCATGACGAATAAGGAATAATGAATGAATAAACGATCGAGGAGGAATTATAATAGAATAATAATACTACATCATTGTCATTGATCAACCGAGTTGTTTTTCTTTCATTCTTCATTATTACTCGATTTAGAAGAATTGCTAACCTAACCTCTCCTCGGTTGACTGATTCTCTCAAAATGCCTACGTCACGTGAACGTTTATTGCAGAGTGTTACTTGTAAACACACATATGCTAATCTGGTACATATTCAGTTTCGCCTAGTCGGCATCTACATAGGTGTAGTCTTGGGACTTGTTAAGCCAGCGGTTGGACATAATCGGGTCAAATATCGCGTTCAATTCTCGCAGGTCATGAAACGCTTGCTTCAGAAACTTTTCCTGGTCATTAGAATCGTTCTGGTTTATCGATGATTCACGGTTCACGGAAATGAATTTGTTATTGTTTGTCAAATCTGTTGGCTCGTTTATCGTTCGACGAAGCTTCGTTCGTTATCTCTGAACTTAAAACTAACCGGTTATAAAATTACCCTTACCGATAGAAAGATGCAAATTCGTTTATCGAAACGCATGGAAAACGTTTCCAATTTGTAAAATTCTTTTCCATAAATTTTCACTTTTTTTTTTATTTATCGCCGACATGATAATCGAGTAGTCGTTCATTATACCACTTGCATAATCTTCGATAGAATACGTACGTACATGTTGCCGACACACGTAACTGCCTATTTAAAAAATGTTATCTCTTGCACTGATAATGGAACGATAATGCGAAAAATGTACATACGTGTATCATGTTTTACAACCTTACATTTCTCGAGCATTTATAAATTAATCAATTTCTTTTATAAGTACGTACGTTAGCAAATAATCTGTTACTGGGGTATGAAAATGAATTTGAGAAAGGGAAATTAAATAATTAACCTTCTGAAAATGGATACCAAAGTTATTATAAGTTATAATTAAAACATCGTGTAATTAGATCAAATGATATTTTTAAAAATATTTTCTATTTGTAAATAGATCAAAATGACCCTAAATCCACATTATGAGAATAAGAATGTATGAATGGAGGTAACTATAAACAGGGATCGCAGGAGTCAACTTTTCTTCCTCGTCCTTGTTTTTCTTTTCATCAGCTCTTTTTTTTTGTCGCGTAATTAAAGCATGAAATCGCCACGAGAGGGAAAGAATAGATGGCGAAAGGTAGTAGACAAAGAGGGTGATATTAGATCGGCGGGAAGGGGGGAAAAAAGTGTCCCTGTCTCGTACGAGGCTCGGGTGGAACCAAACCGCGGCGGTTATTATCGATCTCTCGGCATCGT